GAACGGATAAAAAAACACTATTTCTCCAAAGAAGATATACAAATGACTGATAAGTACATGAAAAGATGCTTGAGATCACTAAACATTAAGGAAATGCAAATCAAAATTACAATGAGAAACCATTCTCATATCATTAGGATGGCTATTACCATAAAACAAAAACAAAAACCCTTATGCACCATTGGTGGGAATGTAAAATGGTACAGCTGCTGTAAAAAACAGTATGACACTTCCTCAAAAAATTAAAAATAGAATTACCATAAGATCCAGCAATACCACTTCTGAGAATATACTTTAAAAATTGAAAGTAAGATCTCAAAGATATTTGAATACTCATCTTCATAGCATCACTGTTCACAATTGCTAAAACAAGAAACAATCCAAGTGTCCACTAATGGATAAATTGGTAAGCAAAATGTAGTATATACTTACAATGGAATATTATTCAGCCTTAAAAAGGGAGGGAATTCTGATGTATACTATAACATGGGGGAACCTTGAAGACATACTAAGTGAAATAAGACAGTCAGAAAAAGACAAACACTATAGGATTTGTCTTAAAGCTGTCAAAATCTTAAAGACAGAAAGTAAAATGGTGGTTAAGGACCTGGAGGGAGGGAAGAATGTGGAATTATTGTTTAATGTGTATAGAATTTCAGTTTTACCAGATGGAAAGAGTTCTGGAATGAATGATGCTGATGGTTGCACGATACAAATATATTTAATATCAGTAAACTGTACATTTAAAATGGTTAAGATAGTAAATTGTATATGGTTTTTATTTTACTACAAATGAACAAAAAAAGGAGGCGGAACAGAGAAAATGTTTACCCTACTAGATATTAAGACATGTTATAAATCCATAATAATCAAATAATATGAAATTAGAATAGAATTAGGAAAAAAATATCTATGGAACAGACAAGTTATGTAGCAGATCTAAATACACTTAGTGTTCTAGTATATATTGACATAACATTGCAAATAGGAAAAACAAATGGTGCTGAGACATTCAAAATTCATACGGAAAAAAATAGATTAGGTCCATACCCCACACCATAGAGGGAAAGAAAACTTTCCAGATGTAATGACAATTTAAACATGAAAAACTACGCAAATGTTATCAAATATAGAGAATATCTTTATACTAATGTAAGAGAAGCTTTGTTAAACCATTCACAAAAACAAGATACCATTAGTGTAAATGTTAGTAGATAATGCTGTAAACAATTTAAAACTTCGTATGTTGAAATATATTACAAACAAGTAATATATTTGGTTAAGAACCAAGGTTAAGAACCAAGGCACAACTTGGAAGATATCTGCAAGAAAAATTCACACAAAATGGTGATAGCAATAATATCTAAAAAGTTCCCACAAATCAATGTAAAAGGGCAAAGAAGCCTCTAAAAAGTGAGGAAAGAACATGAAACAGGCATTTCACACAGACAAAATGAATATTTGCCCAGTAAATGAGCAGTAATGAAAAAAACTGTCTATGTTCAATGCTGATGAGGTTATGAGAAAATAGACCTATATGTGACAGAATAAAATGCAAATGAGTACAGCCATTCTGGAGGGCAATTTAGCAAATAACTTTAAAAATGCATATCCTTTAAACCAGCAATTATACATGTAGAAATGTACAGATATTAAAAAATAAACAAAGATATATATTCAAACATATGTTAGAAACAACCTATATTTTCATCAAATTGGGAATGATTTGCATAAATTGTGATATATCATGCACATGAACATTATATTTAAATCAATAGAAATAAGAAAGATCTATATGTAGATCAATATGTTGTTAATATGAGAAAAAATAATTTCTAAAACAATGTATGATATGTTCAATTTAGTTTTTTTTTAATTTCTGTATATATATGTACTATTTTGAAAATAATCTAGATGAAAATATATGAAACTTAATATTGGTTGCATATCCGATGCAAAGAGTGGTAAGAAAAGAGGAGGATGAAGGGAATTATTTTATTTCTATTTTTTATAATGCTTAAAACTTACTCAGAAATGTTCTAATATATCACTTGTATAATAAGTAAACTAATTTTTTAAAGAATGTTTTATACCGATATACAGTCTTCTAAGCCCCCTAGTTGCCACAATTTTCCTGATGTATCCAGAATAATATTCCAAAGACATGATTTGGCTTATACTTCTACAGATTACTGCATTACCACTAAATACTTGTATGCCTTGTATGAATAAACAAATTCACTATGATCAATGTAGATTACTTTTATTATTTTTATGGACTTGTTTAAGGTTTTTTTTTTCAATTACAGTTGACATTCAATATTATTTTATATTAGTTTCAAATGTACAGCATACTGGTTAATTTATATAATTTATATAGCGATCTCCCCCTGCCCTGATAAGTCTAGTACCCACCTGGCACTATACCTAGAGGGCATTATGCTAAGTAAAATAAGTCAGAGAAAGACAAATACACATGATTTCACTTATATGTGGAATCTAAAGAACAAAATAAAAGAACAAACAAAACAGAAACAGACTCATAGGTAGAACTGATGGTTGCCAGATGGGAGGGAAGTTGTGGGGCTGGATGAAAAAGGTGAAGGGATTAAGAAATACAAATTGGGAATTATGATGTAGTTTATTTTCAGGTTATTCTTATTTTACAGTCCAATGGTCTGGTCTGTAATCTCACTTGACTATAGTGAGAAGATCTGTGAAAAGGGGCATCTTGACTGAATAAAAAATGTAAAACATTAGAGGAAAATCTTTAAAAGACCATGGTAAGATAATACAAAGAGAATAATAAAAGATGAAAACAAATAGTAAATCTTTACTCACCCGATCTTCACAGCAACACTATGACTTGGGTGCTACTATTGTCCTTATTTTATAAAAGAGGAAACTGAGGCCCAGGGAGATGAGGAAACCTGCCCTAAGGTCAGATAACTAGTAAGTATGGAGACAGTATTCTAACCCAAGAATTTTGATTCCAGAGCCCATGCTTTTAAGCACAACACCATCAAAAATCAAAATAGAAAGAGATGGGTATATTTCTGGCTTAAAAGACTAAGAGTTTTGAATTTAGAAAATCAGGATTAATATACCTGATTATGGGGATATCTTACTCTGTACAAAATAGAAATAATAAACACAAGCAATGCCATTTATATGTTTTACATAAAAATACTAGCTTAAAGTTAACATTTTTTTCCCCATATAGATGATTGATCCATCATCATTTATGTAAAAGATCATTCTACCCTATTGTACTACACTTACGGAGAATTTCATAAATTAGATGAGTGTGTATATGTTGATAAGTTTCTGGATTCTTTTCTGTTACATTGTTTCATTTATCTATCATTGAATCTTTTTCATTGTATATCACACCATCTTATACTGAAACTTAATAATAAATCTTTATATCTGATTGTGGGTATATTCCAGCTCTGTTCTTTTCTTCAAGATTATTTTGACTTGTTTTGGGATTTCATATTTTCAAATATTAGAATCAGCTGTCAATTTCTACTAAATAACCTGAAATTTCTACTAAATAACTGAAATTTCTACTGAGATTCCAGTAAGCCTATGCATCAATTTAGAGAAAATTGACACCTTTGTGATATGGATTCAATCCATTACATATCTCACCACTTAATTAGGTTTTAATTTTGTCTTAGTGGTTCTTGTGCTTATCTGTGTAGACTTCTTGCACCTATTTCAATAATGAATCTGAACTCTAATCCCATACCACACACAAAAAATCAATTCTAGAATTTCCAGATGCATTGTACATAACTTTAAAAGGTTAAAAAATAAGCTTTTAGAAGATAACACGAGATAATTTTTATATTAGTATAAGCAAATATTTCTTAAACAGGCCAGAAAATTGGATTGAAATAACTTTTAAATTGAGAACTTTTTTAATAAAAACTAAGAGAATGAAAAGAAAATCCATAAAGGATTTTCAAAAGATATTTTCAAAATAAATATGTTCAACAAAGGATTCATGCCAGAATATATAAAAATCTCTTACAAATCAATAAGAATAAGACAGAAAATCCATTTTTAAAAAATGGGCATAAGATTTGAATAGACACTTCACAACAGAAGGTATTCAAAGAGCCAATATATATAACAAAAGGTGTCCAATATCATTTCATAACCTTAATGTAAATTAAAACTAAAATGAAACACTAATAACATGACTACCAGAATACTTAATTTAAAAAAAAATCTGACAATACCAAGTGTAGATAAACAGTGTGGAACAACTAGATTAGAGTGGGAGTGTAACATGATGCAATAATTTTGTGAAAATGTCTGGCAAAATCTACTAAATTTGTACATATACATATCTTATGACGTGCAATTAGATTATATAAACATATATTCAGCAGAAACACATACACATGCACAGCAAACAAATACTCATACCAGTATTACAAAGCTCAAAACTGGAGCAACCAAAATTTTAATCAACAGTAGATTAAGCTGTGGTATAATAATACACCATATTCCTATACAATAATGAAAATGACATGAATGAATTTTTGCATCATCTTTCTGATGAAGTTCAGAAATAGAATGTTGAGCAAATGAAACCAGACACAAACAAGTTAATATGCTTTAGTTTTATGCAGATAAAGCTCAAATTCAGACAAAGCTAAACTCTGGTGATAGAAGAATGATTGTCTTTGGATAGGAGCAATGATTAGTGGAGAACATAAGAGAGAATTCTAGGGTATAGTAAATGTTTTATATCTTAATCTGGGTGCTGGCTACACAGGTGTTTTCACACTGTAAATGTTCTTTGAGTGGACTTTTATAACTAGTGCATTTTTTGCTTACCTGCTAAACTTTAGAAAAAAGGTTTACTTTTAAAAGTTTAATCTATGACTTCAGAATATGATAACAGAAAAAATGCTATAAGAGAGGAGAGGTTGGAGGTTTCTGTGGAAGAACCAAAATCTCCTACATGCAAGAAGAAGAAATAGTACAAAGTCATAATTGTTTTAAACATTCTATGAACACTAGTTTTGTTAATCTTTTTTCTTAAATTTTGTGATTTTAGTTAATAATGGACAAAAAAAGAGAGTTACTCGATTTTCAACCTATTACCAAGGCTCCTACTACTCTTGCAACACTATACCATATTCCATGGCTGGATAAAAACAAAAAACATATAAACTTTATTAAGGTAAGATTTTTATTTCCTAGTAATAATATCTTTATGTACCAAAAAAATGATGTTTTAAAAAGCAAAGATTTAATCATGATACTCTAATTTAAAATTATTTAAATGCCCTTTATTACTTGTATGATAAAATCAAAATCCATTCCAATAGCATGTAAGGTCTTTCTGTAATCTGCCTCCTGTGTACCTCCCTATCATCATCTTCTGTTGCCCATTTGTCAGATGCTCCACACTCTTTATGCTGAACCACTCATGTGACCCCAAACACTTTATATTGTTTTCTAATTCCATTCTTCTGTAAGTACGATTTACTTTTTGTGAAATACCCTTTTTTCCCCCACTTTTCCCCCTGAAACCTTTCCTCCCTCCTTATTACTTCTCTAGAAACATCCCCACCAAAGGTACTCAGAAGAGTAGGCTTTGGGGTCAAAGACCTTACCAATTAAAGATCATCCTGTGGTAGATCCTGAGGTTGGAGGACCAAAGGTGTTACCATTGTATCCATTATATACCTTTATTATACCATTAAGTATACTACATTACAATCATCTTTACATCTCTCTTCCAAACTATGTTTTTTAGTTCATCCAACTTTTGAATACCCAGCCCCTGATACTTTCCATATTGCATAATGGATGCTCAATAAATGTTTGTGGAATGAACAAATAAATGGGTCTATCTTGTTCTAATAACATTCTTTCTCTATATCTACTTGGTGTGAAAAAAAATGATTATATTTGTTCACCTGATTAAAATATTTTGAATGAAAAAAAATTGTATTTACCTCATTAGATGTTTAGAGCTTGAGTATGTATGAAACATATATGTACCATTAGCCTGCATCTGTTCTGATTATTTTTTATTCAGACAGAATAGTTCCATTTTTCTGTTATATTATAGATTAAATTATTTCTTTCTTAATCCCTGTATAAATACTCCATCTGAAATTATATATATCTATGAATATTCACCTTCCTCTCTTTGCTATTCATAAGTCCTAGTTTCTCTTCCAAATTTATTACTAATGTGATCTCAGATCTCATTGAGTGATATTTATTTTAAAAATGTAAAACATTTTTATTAGAATATAAACTTTGACATCCCCAACCACTGCTGAAATATTGTTTATAGCTTCTATATTTGCTGATTTTTTTTTTTTAGGAAAGAGCCAAAATTATAACATATGATTGTGGAAATAATATATTTGAAGAAGGTGATGAGCCAAAAGGAATTTATATAATTATTTCAGGCATGGTAAAGGTAAGGCAGAATTATTTATAAATGCACCTGAGACCATGAGTTTAAAAACTTGATAAAATTGAGAATTAATAGTTTTCTATGTTAAGAACTGCATTGTTCCTGTTTTAGGATGGTAACTACCATCCAAACAACAATGTTTCTTGTTCAAACACAATGGATAACATACCCATCACCTTTTAATCCATGCTTTCCCATAGATAACAAAAATAAAAATAAAAAAATCATCTTTGAGATGGAAAATTATAATATAAATTGTTATTCATCTTGTATTTGATTTGGGCATTTAGCCATTGTAAAGCGGGTACAGGATCCTCAAAATCATATGTACATATTAAAATTATTAAAACCAAAAGAAAAAATAAATTAGATAGTTTTAGTAAATTAACTGGCATACCTATTTTTCTCTTTCTTTGTTCCTGAATAGCTTAAAAGATCAAAGCCAGGTTTGGTAATCGACCACATATTACAGGAGTCAGAGGAGAAAGATAATCAGATAATTTACACAGACTATATGATCAGTGGAGAAATAATAGGAGAGCTGAACTGTTTAACTAATGAACCTATGAAATATTCTGCCACCTGCAAAACTGTAGTGGAGGTCAGAAAACACTACCTTATTATGTTTTACTGTTGTATCTGGTTAAATATCTAGCATAAAATTTAAGGGTGTTTTTGTACTCAGTATATAATTACAGTCTAATAGAATTCTTTTAAAAATAGAAATGGTAAAAGAACAAAATTTGTTAACAGAATTATATTTACCTGGTATAATGTCCCGGCAAAATATCTTGCAAGAGTTAACTTACCATATTGAAAGAAGAATTTAATCAGAAAAACTGGTTATATTAATTCTCTCATGGGGAAATTAGCTGGTATAGGTTAACCACCAATACCATAATTTGGAGGGTAAGAAAGGAGGGAAGTCAAAGAGCTAGTTGAGCAAAGTGAATGAAAGATTCCCTAGATGAGATTGAGGACAAAATCCTCAAAGTGACAGAGGGTCCCAATGACCTAATTTGAACTTGAAAAGAACAATGACTGCAAACAAATGAATCCCATAAATATATAAAAATCCATAAGTTGATAACAATACAAATTTTTAAAATTTTTGATAAAGTTGCTGGGATGTCAACTTATTACTCTAAAAATGCATTTTTTAAATAGAAAAAATTAAACATTTACCCTGTCTTTTCTCTATGAATGCTTCTAAAGTAACAAAAAATGATAAAATTTTTCTGTAAAGAAGAATTCCAGTTTACAAATATAGAATGAGAAAGTTAGAATATCTCCTGGGCAACAACCATCAATTGATGCTAAAACTACTAAGTGGAGTATTAATGGAAAAATTTATAATGAAAGTACTAGGCTGATACCACCTAAAGATAATCTTAGCATCATTGAAAGTGGGACATGATATGATGCAGATGATGCAGCAGAAGTACTAGCACCACCTATGAAGTCTTCTTATAAGAGAAAAGAGAAAACCTGAAGCCTCTAGATCTAACCAGTTTACAGAAAATACAGGAAGGAGAGAAACAAGTTAATTGACACCAGGAGAAGATAATTAGCTAAATCTAGAATGTGAGAGGCACTTCAGGCCAAATAACCATTTTTTTCCTCAACAAATCATTGGCATAAAAAGGGGAGAAGGAGGAGGTGGAGGAAGAAGGCAAGAGAAAAGTAACCTGTATCATTCAGCAGCGTATATTAGAATATTTACAAGAGAAAGTATATAAAATCCAGCATTGCATTAATCTATTCTATGCTTTTGCTTTTGGCTATTATGAAGTTACTGGTAGCATACTAGTACACTCATCATAAACAACTATAGAACTTGACAAAACATGTAAGGCAAATATTTTCAGCCATTGGAAAAAAGGCAGTGTATGTCTGGAAAACTTGAGAGAGAGATAAACTTGCAATATCCACCTTGACCTTCTGCCTAGGACAGTTTCCAGCCACACATAATAAGAATTCAATCAGAAGATAATGATCCTTCTGAGCTAAGAAGAGGAAGATCCAAAGTTGGGACAGCTCAACTGGCTGGAATCTGCAGAATTGGGTCTAGAAGGAGGAGCTGAGAGGGAGACTGAGAAGTCTGTGTGATGGTTCTTCACAAGTCATTGGTTGAGTGATAGGCTGCATATGCACAAGATGAGACAAACCTAAATTCACCAGATTGTTAAGAATGAAACAGAAATATTAGAGATCAAGAAGTGCCAGGGATGTTTAAGGTTGTTTTGTCAGTGAGGGAGGTTAGAAAAATTTCCCCTTTGCCTTTCGGTCTTCTGGCTGGTTGAAAAATTAAAATAACTTAAGACAAATTAACAGGAAAAAATAACCAAATTTAATTACATATGTAAATATAAGGTTCTATTAAAATGTGGAGTCTTGGGACAAATCAGACAGTTGAAGTTTATATGCCATCTTGAGCTAAGGAGAAGAGGGAGGAATGGTTTAGGACTTCAAATGTTTGCTGGGCCACTTTATCTGCTTTAATTTTTTTTTGTAAAAAATTTAAGAAATTCATTTTCAACTGCTGCTAGTATATGAAAATACAATTAATTTTTGGAATTCCAAGTTCTTGCTGGCTTGTTAAATTCACTGTAAATTCTAGTTATTTTTGATAGGCTCTTTAGGATTTAACCAATACATGGTGACAGGAGATTTGACTTTGGGTAATGAACACAAAATGCAATACACAGATGATACATTATTGAATTGTACACTTGAAACCTTTGTAATTTGATTAACTAATGTCACCCTAATAAATTTAATTAAAAATTTAGATATGTCATCTACAGAAATAATTGAGTGTTTTCTTTATAATTTTTATGTTACTTTATTTCTTTATTAAATATAAAATGTGGCTAAAACTTGGACTTTCCATTACTGCCAAAAAAATCAGGGAACATTTATCTAGCCCTACTGTACTAGATAAAGTGGATAGGAGTAAAGTTAATGAAAGATATGGAAGCCCTCTACAATGAAAACTACAAAATATTTTCTAGAGAACTTACAGAAGATCTAAATAAATGGAGAGGTATAACATATTCGTGGATTGGAAGCCATAATTTTATTAAGATGTCCATTCTTTCCAAATTGATCTACAGATTTAATGCAATCTCAATGAAATCTCAGCAGATGCTTCCTCATTGAAATTTATGAGCTGCTTGTAAAATTTATATGAAAATGCAAAGGACCTAGAATAGACAAAAATATATTTGATAAAGAATAACATTAGGTGACCTACACTACCTGATTCAAAGACTTATTATAAATCTATAATAATCAAGACCATATAGTATTGGCTCAAGGTTAAGACAATATAGATCAGTGGAACAGGTGAGAGAATCTGGAAGTAGATCCACATATACATAGTCAATTGATTTTTAACAATAATAGTATTTTCAACAAATGATCCTGAAAATACTAAATATCTCTATAGCAGCAATGATACACTATGCACAAAACTTAATTTGGAATGACCATAGACCTAAACACAAAAACTAGAACTATAAAAATTCTAGAAGAAAACACAGGAGATCTTGAAATAGGCAAAGATTTCTTAACCAGGATACAAAAAGCACTAACTACAAAAGGCAATGCTGATAAACTGGATGTCACTAAAATTAAAATATTCAGTTCTTTAAAAAGACACCATAAAGAATTTGAAAAAGGCAAACCAGTGGCTGGAGGTCAGGGGGAGTTTTTTACAACATCTTTATTTGAAAAAGGACTTAACAAAAAAACCTGTAAAGAATTCTCACAACTCAAATAAGAAGACAAGTGACCAAATTAAAAATTGGACACAGGATTTGAACAGACACTTCACAAAGGAATATACAAATGGCCAATAAACACATAAAGACTATCTGCAATGTCGTTAGCTTTTAGAGACATATAAATTAAAGTCATGATGAGGTTATCACTACATACCTACTACGTTGGCTAAAATAAGAGGACTGAATGCCAAGTATTGGCAAGGAGGTGAAGCAACTGAAATTCTCATACATGGCTGGTGAGAGCATAAAATCTTACAACCCCTTCTGAAAACAGTTTGGCAGTTAGTTTCTTATAAAGTTAAACACACACTTACTATATTACCCAGAAATCCCAATTATAGATACTTACCCAAAAGAAATAAAAACCAACATACTCAATGTCTTATATATTCATAGCAGCTTATTTCTAACAGCCAATAGTCTGTTTGTTGTCGGCATCAGCATTTTATTGTTACCTGAAATGTTTGCTCACCTCAAATACTTTATTTTTATAAGTATTTACATCTTTAGTTAAAAACATTAAATGATTTTTGATACTTTGTTTTCTATTTTTTCAGAATCTATTAGAATTTTAAAGAACCTTTCTTTGGATCATGTAGTCTTTTAATATTTAGTATATGATAAGATCACACAAGTATTTTATTATGTTGCCAGGCAATAACATGAATCTTACATAATTTAAGTCTTACATAATTCTTAACCTCAATGATATATAAATATATGTATATATGGAAACCTTATTTCCTTGAACTATAGGTACAGTAAAATATTAATTTATATCCTCCTTTTGCCAGACATGTTTTATTCCCAAAAGTCACTTATATGAAGCTTTTGAACAATGCTGTCCTCACATTGAATATAAAATGTGGCTAAAACTTGGACTTTCTATTACTGCCAAAAAAATCAGGGAACATTTATCTTATGAGGTAAGAGGTGTTTCTATAAACTCGTACTTCTCTCTGAGTGGAATTGCATTAAACTATTATTATAAATTAACTATTTAGGAATTTATATTAAAATTTATAAACAAACAGTGGTTTATGAAATTGTGTTTTTCCTATAGGATTGGACCTATAAAATGCAATTAAAGCTCTGTAACATTAATTTAAAAGATATACCAAAGGGCACCAAGACTGACATCTATGATGAAACTGTAATTTATGTCATCCTCATACATGGAGCTGTAGAAGATTGTCAGTTACGAAAAGTTTATAAGGCACCTTTCTTAATTCCCATAACATGCCATCAGGTAAAAAAATATTGATTCATGTCTTTAAGTCAATATGCCATATATCCAACGATGTATTAATGTTATAAAAATTGTCATTTGCCACCTTCCATTCCTCTCCCTTTGCCATACCACTCCATAAACACACACATACACACACACACACACACACACACACACACATACCACACACACGCAACACATACCCAAGTTATTGATTGCTTTGGCACTAGGTAAGCCAAACACCAAGCTATTCCTGTTCGATGTCGATTAAGCAAGCCGAGCCATACATTTTAGCCACAATTAGATTATGTTGCAGTTGTAATTATCAGGAGAGGGCCTATTAAGTTCATTTACACATTGCAAAAGAGCCACACTCTCTAGTCTGTATCGATAGTACTCTAGAAAGGTTCTGCCATACCTATGTTGACCAGTGTACCAGTGGTATTTCCCCAGCTACTCTAAAAGTGAATGTAAAAGTGAAGGACATCTCATATTTAAGGTGTTGAGTTTTCTTCCAATAAAAATGAGAAGTTATGCCATGTGAAGAAGGAAAGAAAGAAGACTGTTTGTATATGTGTATGTATATGTGTGTAGATGTCTGTATATGTTGGAGTAGAATAAGAGAGGAGTGTGTCAGAAGAAATCAGGGGACATATAAAATACAGCTACAGAAAGTAAACTGAAAGAGGAACCTAGAGTCAATTAAATTAGGCACATATTTTTTAAAGCAACTAATATATGACGGAAATGGTTCTAGATGCTAAAATGATCAAGACAAATGTGACTTGCTACTTGTCCTCTCAACCATGTGGAAAGAAGCATAATACAAATATATTAAGTAAATCATTTATAGCTATGATAGAATAGAAGTACTTACAGGGTATGTTTGGGACATAAGGAAAATGTGAGGTGGTGATAAGAGGAATCCTGGGGTAAGAAATGATCACAAAAAATTTTTCTAATCATAACACCACCAGCACCAATGTGATGCCCAGTGAAAGGAAATGAAACATTATTCTTAACTATGGTGTTCCCTACCTCTATTCTTGAATATATCATAACAGAACTTTGGTTTGGGTCTGGTTGGGAATTTAGATGGCCAAGCAAGAGATTCTCAAGGCAGCCCCCAAACCTGCCCAACTCTGTCAGCTCTCCTAGACATGAAGCCTGCTCATTGTGGGTTTGGGTACCAATGTGATTCAAAGCATACTGAAAAAAACCACACACAAGGCTGAAGAATTTCTTGAACTCCATTGTTTTCTAAACTAACTTTCTGCCACATTAAAAAAAAAAAATTTTTAAACCTCTCTGGGTGACATTTTAAAGGATCATCGATGATTAACTCTTGATCATTTTTCTCATTTGTAAGAGAAATGAACAAAATATTTAAAAATCAATGACAGTATATTGAGCATGTTAGTTCATAAAACTAACATGTCCAGATATTTTAAGATATCTTCTAATATCTAATGATGTTTTCAATTTTCAGGCCCAGATGTTTAGAGTGGGCCTGAGATAGTAGCTTACCAGAGAAACATTTAGTTGTATGATATATACTCGGAAATTAACTTATATTTTGTCAACTTTCAGATACAAGGCACTGAAGAAATCACAAAGGTAATGATTGTTCAAACTCCAATTGATGCGAAAAACTTCAGATGGAGCACTAGAACGTATATACCTTCACGTAAACCATCTATTCCAAAGGCATCATTATGTGAGTTGATTTATTTGAGCAAAACGAGAACTTACCTTCTATTTATAAAATAGCCATATATGTATTTGGAAATTGTATGCACTCTTCCTAGAATATTGAGGAACCCTCTTAATTGCTATATTTCATACCCAATGTATAAATTCCGACTGAGAATATCTAAGTTATAATTAGAAATTATTTTATATTTCATCTGTAAGAATAAACATGTATAATTATCAAAATAATATGAAAAAGAGATTAATGATGGAATTTGTAGTTCTTCCCCCAAATTAAAATATTTTATATAGCAGTAATAATGACAGTGTCATGCTGTTTGAGCAAGAGATATAAATCATTGGAACTGAATGGATAACCTTGATATAAAGCCTATTCTTCATAAAAATTTCTCATGATAAAACTAAACCATAACATAAATGATTATTCAATAACTACTATTAAGCCATTGATTAAAATGTGAAAAATAATTTTGAAGTAGATTAAAAAATTGAACATTAAAGAATTAAATTATGGAAATAAATAATAATAATAGAATTTATTATTTATCATTTCACAAAGGGAAAATAATATTCTAAATCTATAATACAGAAATTTATTTTAAAATTTTGAGTTTCAATAAAAATATTAGTAAACAGATCATGAAAAGATAATTCACAGAGGAAACTTACTTTGACAAAAAAAAATGTGGGAAAATGTTCAATACTGCTAGTATTTAAAGAAATAGAAATTAAGCATTTGGTCTATTTAATTAGTGAAGTATTTTTTAAAAAATTATAATACATAACGACCAAAAAAAAACATGTAGTGAATCTTATATATATTTTTACTTTGTAGATACCACTGTAAAATGATAAAGTAAATTTATCACATGATTCCAAAGTCTCTAAAAGTATTTATATCCTTGATTAAATATTATAATTTCTATGTATGTCAATTATACCTCAATGAAAAGATAAATTAATAATAATATAATTTCTAGATATTTATTCTAGAAAAAAAGCAAAACAAATGAAAATGATAACAGAATTATTTATAAAAATAAAAATTAGAAGTAATAAAAATATCTAATGATAAATGAATGGTTAATTAACTTAATTCAATCAACACAATTGAATAGTATATAGACATCAGATGATTAATTTTCCACATAGTAACTTGGAAAAGGTCAATGATCTATGTCAAGTAAAAATAGCAATGGTGTATCATTGTGTTGCTAATTTTAAACAAATCATATCTTTATTGTTGAAAGTACATAACTTTGAATCCATGTGGACACACAATACTGTTATCACATGAGTCCCCATTGACCTTTAGATTGAGCATACACAGGACATGGTATTGGAAACTTCACTATCGGCTCCCTCAGCTATCTCCTCCCCTCCTCACTCTCTAAAACCAAGCCATACAAAAGTATTAATGGTTCACCAAATCTGGGAGACCTGATGATCTCTCATTCCTGAAACTTCGCACATTTCTTCTGTTTCTTCTGCCTGAAATCCTCTGAATCTCCCCCTCCTCATGTCTCTCCATTCCCTGGAGCCAACTCCTTCTTATCCTTTAAATCTCAGCTTCTTCTCCCAGGAACCATCACTGATAAGTGACAAATTCGCAAAACTGCACTCTTCTCTGTGTTCCCATAGCTTATTATGCACACAGTCTTATTTTCCATATTGTATTGTATTGTATTGTTTGTTTGTTTGTATATTTAATGGTGTGTCTGTTCCATTAGAATATAAACTCCAAGAAAACTCGATCATTGCTAATTTGCTTTCTTATATATCCCCATTGCTTACCAATGGGCCCGGTACTTTCAATACATATTAATATAAAAGCGTTTTGGGATGGTAGAACAATAGATGATTTTATTTCTCTACTTTTCATACTTTCTGCACACTTGTTACATAATCTTTATAATAAAAGGCTTTAAATCGTTTTTTTAAAAAGTGGCCCTTCTTCCCACCAACTGAGATTACCACCAATTTTAGATCACAGGCCCCAAGTGTGGAAAATTTGAACCTAGTTTTAATTTGAAACATTTCTTCATTTCAGTGCTTGAACTAACACAGTCTTTTTTGAACCAGCTCCAGCTGGACTGAATGAAGAAGGCCTTCAAAATGAAACAGTTACTGAGGTAAATTTAAAGCATTCTTTTTAAAAAGTTGTATTTTGGGTAAAAGAGAATCTGGGATTTATTGAAATGACCAATGTCTTTCTCTTATTCTGAGTGAGTTCATCTGCTAATCATTTTGTCAATTTTGATATGAACACTTTCTCTTAGTTCAGGGTACAATAGAAATTGTATATATATTTTTATGTATATATATACAAATGACAAAGAAAAACAAAGCTCAGTAGATGCCAGAATATCCTTTTTTAAAATTAAATTTATTAGGGTGGCATTGGTTAATGAAATTATATAGGTTTCAAATGTACAATTCGATAATACCTTATCTGTATATTGACTTGTGTGTTCACCACCCAAAGTCAAATCTCCTTTTGTCACCATATATTTGACCCCCTTACCCTTATCTACCTCCTCTACTTCCCCCTTTTCCTCTGGTAACTACTAAACTGTTGTCTGTGTCCATAAGTTTTTGTTTGTTTGTCTTATTTGCTTGTTGCTTTCAGTTTTATATCTCATATATGAGTGAAATCATATGGTTCTCAGCCCTTCCTGTCTGACTTATTTTGTCAAGCATGATAATCTCAAGATCCATCCATGTCATCACAAATGGCAGTATTTCATCTTCTTATGGTTGAGTAATATTCCATTGTATATATGTACCACATCTTCTTTATCCAATCAACTGTCAAAGGACACTTCGGTTGTTTCCATGTCTTGGCCATCCTTGAATAATGCTGCAATGAACAGCGTGGTGCATATATAGTTATGGATAAATGTTTCCAAATTTGGGGAATAGACATCCAGATGAAGAAATGCTGGGTCATGTAGTAATTCTGCTTGAATCACTTTAGCAACCAGGTACTACCAGAGTAACCACGGTTGTAGTGTACCTGAGCCCTTCCACTTCTCCACCTTGTGCTAAAACTTGGACTGGTCTGAAGGTTCTATCACTACCTCAGCTATGCACCTGGGATCTTCCAACCTAAAGGCAGTTTGCCCTGTTTTCACAATGCCTGTCACAAAGCAGGAGCTCAATGATAAATGCTCTAATCTAATCTACCCCACGCTAACCTAAGTTATTCAAAAACTTCCACAAATATTGATTAATTTTAGGGTTAACTATGGAATCGGGTAGGTCGCTTGGGGTCTTAGGATCTTCAAAGTCCTGGTACAAGTTTGCAACAAGATCCCAAGTTATAAAACACTATAGGGTTCTGGAAATGAAACTATGGGCAAAGGGAAATAGTGTAGAAATACCTCACTACACCTATACCAGCCTGCCTGTGGACTGGATCTTAGAAAATTCCAGATGGGGTAGAGAATTTATTTTTAATTCTAGTCTTTACCAAGCTGGTTGTTACTCCAGAAGATACTGATTATAATACCCAGAATCTGAGAAATATCTGCTACAAATACACAGCCAGAAAATTGTGTATTTGGTTATTAAAAATATGTTTTACATCAATTAAATCCATTTGTTCTATTAGCACTTGGCATAAAACTCTGAGAACACATGTTCTTTCTTCCCCCAAATCTTTCCTCACAAGTATATGTTGAAAGAAACATGATCAATTATAGGTTCTGTGAGGAGAAGTTGAAGGTGTTTCTCTCACGTCCATCTTTAATTCAAATGTGTCCAATTTCCCTGGCCTACTAGATGCCAGAATTCTTCTTTAATATCCGAGTTCCTATACTCATAAAAAAAGGAAGTCCACTCCCTCCTGAGGAATTTTGGAGTTTTTCTGGAAAAGCTTTTCCTCAAACCTTCCCTAGTTATTTCTTGTCACCTAGAACTCCTGACATAATAGCATAAGGGCTAAAATGTGGGCACTAGCATGAGGCTCCGGATGTGCTTCCTGGTTTCAACACTTATTAGCCATGTGACCTTGGGCAAATTTCTTAACGTGCCTAAGCATCATTTTCCCCATCTGTAAAATAGGGTTAATGGCAATACCTGTTTCATAGAGCTGCTGTGGACATTAAAGAAATGCAAAGTGCACTGCATAATTTTTGGCACATAAAGAATCCATACACATAATTTTTGTTATTCTCTGTTCACTCCTCATTAACATTGAAAAGTACTTTTCCAAAATGCTTTTGCTCTTCCTGTATTAATTTTCTTAAAAATATGTATATAGTCACCTCCTCTCATTCTTCCAACATAGTCGCTGCTGAAGACTAGAAAATAACAAAGGGAAATTACAATTTAAAAAAAAAAAGATGATAGAGACAATTAAGATGAAAGATTAGATGGCTTCCAGAATCCACTGATTGGGCCTTCTTTCTCCTTAGCCCTGGCCAGCTGCTGAACTTGTAGGGTTAGCTGAATAGCATATTTTGCAAAACAGTGGAAAGAGCCAAGGATGCTAATGATCTCCTTGTATATATGCATCGAAAAAGCTGCTTTTTCATAATTTAAAAAAAAAAAAAAAACCCAATTGCATGACGGTTGTTAATATATAGAAAGTAATGTGAAAATGAGAGATAGTTTAGTAAATGGTAGAAACATCAGCTAGTGACACTTATAGAGGTCATCAAAGTGCATTATTTAGTAGATGCTTTTTCTCCCTGATGTTAGATCTTGGCTATGTTTCTGGGCCAGCTCCCTTCTCGCTCCCTGCAAACCTTTTCCCTACCACCACTACCCGGAATTGTGCCTTTACCTTTACATAATGAGAAGGCCTGGCACAATGTCAAGTAGCTCTTTACAAAGTGTTTTGGTCCCCAGAACAGAGCACGTAGTGCTGCCACCACCAGAAGTCCCACTTCTTGGTTCCCTGCTCTACAGACCAGATTTAAAACCAGCCCAGCTTTATATACTTGACTCTCATTAACAGTCTCAGAATTTAACTTTTTTTTTCCTATCTCCATTTCTAGATTCAAGAGCTTACAAAAATAAGTGATGTCGAGGAGGAGATGAACATCTACGAGAATGCCTAGAATAAATCTAGATGAAAGTCTGGTAAGCTGCTGCAGTTTCCTCAGCATGATCAGGAGCTCACCTGTTCCTGGAAAAACAAATTGCTCACCTGTTCCTGAAAAAACAAATTGAAACCAGAAGTTCATTTGCTCCTTGTGTGATAGTGTGAAATACATGTCACTTTCCACTAGTCATTATATGTAATACAATCATTTCCACTAGCCAGTGGATACTTCTAATGGCACTATATCTAAATTCTAATTTGGAAAATTAACTCTAAAATAAGATTCCTTAATCTAGATATCTGAAAACTTTATAGGCTGGTAGTTTCTTCTCTATATTACTTAGTCATACATGCAACACTGGCTGCTCCCAATTTGGCAGGGCATTTTTCAAGCTGCCACATCCTGTGGAAGATATAATACAGGCAATAATTATGAATTCAATTCTCAAGAGTTTATGTTCCAGTTGAGACAAAATGTATCAAAAGGCAATTACATAACAATTCAAGATATGCTATCGATAGTGTCAGTTGAAGTTATAGGAATTAATAAGAGAAGCAGCCAGCTATTGAGAGTGAATGAAGTCTTTGCGGAGAAAAGAAAGGAATGTTCATAATAGTGGACAAAAGAGAGCAAGACTTTTGGAGAACAATGAGTAGACCAGTCTGGCTGTTGGTTGTTCAAATGTGGCTTCTGTGGGGGGAAATATCTGTATATATCAGTGCTTTATATGATTCTATGGTACATAGAGCATATCGCTGGGTTAAAAAATGACCTTTGGTCATTTTATCAGCATTTAAAAATGTTAACTCTTATGTGCCACTTCCTATGACAAAGACCATATTTAAAAATAGATGTAAAGACTAATGATTCACTATGAAAAAATATTTGCAGGAATTATTTGCAATATGATTGATATCTTTACTTGGGAAAAATGTATTCAAAATGATAAGGAAAACATTATAATTCCAATATGCAAATTTATGGACAACCAATTCACGGAAAAAACAATAATAGTACCCAGAACATGAAGAAAATTTAAAAAGCAAAATTCAATTAAGTAACAATGATATATTAATATTTGCTTTTTTAAATTAACAATTTTTTTATTCAATGGTAACATCTATTTTTTTTTTGAACTTGATAAAAATAGAACGATACTTGTTTTGTCATGTTTTCTGGTAAATGAGTAGAAGGAATTTGTAACAAAAGATGTAAAAATACCCACTTTGACTCAGTGATTTTGCATCTAGGAATCAATCCAAAGAGAGTGACCCAAAGTATTATAGTAGACATATGTACTAAATATCTGGTACACTACTATCTCTAACAGCAAAAAAAGGAAAAAACAGTCCAGTGCCCAAGAATAACAAAGTATACAATTTCACTACAGAACGTCCATACAAAAAAAATGTCATATAACCATTAAAAAGATAGATTGTGTAGTCCAATGTAAAATAAAAGAGGAGAAGGCAAAATTGTACATATAACTTTTTTAATTTGAAAAAAGGCCAAAAAAAGTTAAATGATTCAGTTCAGTTTTGTTCACTTCTCTTATTTTATGTGATTTTATCCCTCTTATAATGAAAAATGTGATTGCAAAAGCATTATTAAGCATTATTCAAATATAAATTATTTGGAAGTTGTCTGTCCCTTTCTACCACCCTCTACACGCAGCAATCACAGTGCTATGAAAGGGAGTGGGAACAGCCAGAGCTGAAATTAGATGAGTAATAATGGTTTCAGTCACTGTTTCCCACATGGAACACCCTTCTCCTGATAATCCATCAATTCTCCATGTCCAGTTCCTCAGGCCCCAGTGGCTTCTCGGACTCTGACTCCCAGTTTAAATCACATTGCTTCCGCTATATGAATAATGAGCAATTTACGCTCATTTGCTCAACTTCCCTTTCTCGGCCTCAGCCATAATGACTAGGAGATGCTTCTTGTGAGAATGAAAATTACCCTCTAGTACATTCTGTTCTGGGTTGGAAGTCAATGTTGAAAGATTCCAAAGCTCTTCTGCATTTTTTTGTTTTTCTTTTCCTCCTACTCTTCTTAGGAATGAATGGTAGACAAGACTGTTTTAAGACTGACACACATATTTACCGCTGTCATGAGATGCCTCCTATTTTTGAAACACATGTCCTTGCATCAAGAAGGAGCAACTTTAAGCTGGATCTTGCATGGATTTTCTTGTGCCACACGGAAAGAAGTTTGGACCTTGCAACCATTCCTTTTAATACATAGTTTTTTGCAAAATTTTCTTGATTTAAAATACTTATTACTTTACAGATCTGAAACATCTCTAAAAAAATCTTAGAATAAGTTTCAGTTTCAGATCCAGAAAATAAGCTTATGCCACTCACATAGTTTGTCTATTGCTCTTAGAGCAAAATGGTTTGATTCACTTTACAAAATATAAAATGTTATTAAAATGTGTTTTAAGTGTTACTCTTAAACCCAGTATTGATTTTTGTTATTCCTTGTACTCCCTCTATCTTGGAAGTGCTCAGTGCATTGAAATCATAAAGAATAGAAACTCATTTAAACTGAACCATAGAACTCAGACCTAAATGAAACTTCTAGTGTCCATTTTGTTCACCATTCTATCTATAACAAGGAGTACAATGCCTGGCATATGATTTTTAAAAATAGTTTTAACAGTTAAGAATTACTGTGTCTTTTCTGTATGCTAGATGTACAGTAAATGCTATATACAGTTACGAATTTATGTAAATTCACAACAATCGTATAAGGTAGGTACTATTATTCCCAATTGACAGATGAGTAAACTGACAGAGTTTATTTGCTGAAAATGTCACAGCTACTAAGAGGCAGAGAACCTGTGATCAGCTATTATACCATACATACCTCTAGTCTACTGAATAAGTATCTGAAGAATTAATAAAAATTTAAACATATGTCTTCGGGATTACGCTTCCACCATGTGTCAGGAAATCCAAATGTTATCCAAAACTTTGCTCATGCTACAACTGGTGGTAGGTAGATTTTCAGAAGCCAAGTATAGGGACTCCATTCATAAAATCTCCTCATGGAGAAGACAATTTAGTTTGTGCCTATTAGGAAAGTCAAATCGAACTATTATTTCTCTCCAAATCTAACCTGATAATTATATGGCAGCTCTTTTAGTGTTTGAGGGATCCTGTTAATGAGTACCCTTCCTCTCCTGAATTCTGAATCAACTGAAAATTAAGACAAAGGATTAAGACAGCTGGAGACTAAAGCACATACACACCCACTCAACCATACACACATACACACACACCTTTCTTAGTGGCTGGGCTGATGTAGAGAATGTGGCTGCCTTTTGACTCCCAGAATTGGACAGATTGATCACCATAAGCACTTATCATTAAGCTAACTGTATAGCTGAGAACAATAGAAAATATAAGATTTCTAAGGGCAATTTCATTCCCAATAAAAATCTGGAAGAAGGAGCTGAACAAAGAATGTCCAGATACTGCTTGCAAATTCATCAACGTAATCAGCCACTCCCTCTACCAGAATGAACGAGGAAGTGATACCAGGCCAGAAGTGTTAAGGCAATAGAGCACGAAGCCCTGAATATGGAATGGCACACTAATACAGAGAAGAAGTGCTCTCCACAACAGCAGCTGTTACAGAGAGCTTAGTATGCACCAGACTATCTTGAAGGCTTTTCCCTCATTAGCTTGGGCAATCATCCCATGACCTTTAGGAGGTAAGTGCTATCGTTGCCCTGTTTCACAGAGGAAGTAATGGAAATTAGGGAATTCAGATAAATTATCAAAGTCACAGTTAGACATTAGATGACACTGGGATTCAAATCCGCTAAGCACATTCAATATACTTTGCAATGCTTTTTTAAAAAATATTTTAATGCATTTTTTAATTTTCATATTGTTTCAGGTATACAGTACAATGATTAGGCATTTATATAACTTATGAAGTATAATTTGCAATGCTTTTTCAGTTCTCTAGATTTTATTTTGGAAATTTATACCATTGGAGAAGAGAGGGATACATTCCACAAATAATTGTCAGTGTCTAACTAGCTTCGTGTTGTATAGTGTAAACATTTTTATGTGGGTAAAGAACCCTGAACAAGGCACTGAGCTATTAAGTCATTCTAGCAGCATGCACGTGTATACCCGCTCTCATCAGCAAGATACCAGGACTCTTCCTGCATCTGAAAGACTGTAATATATAGACTTTGGCCTGAGGAGAGCATTTAGAGTTCACTTCCATTTGACTCTTGAGAGCAAACTCACTTATTTGCTCACAAAGCCCAGAAAATAATTCGTTTTTAAAATTTTTAGATAAAAGACTTTCCTTAGTTCTTTGACCCTTAGAATTTTTTTTTTTTTTTAGATTTAGCTTTTAAGTTTTGCAGTGCTTAAACCTAGTTTTTATTCTTTTTTCTCCAGATATTTAATCTTCTATATCCTATGTTAGTCTTACTAAGGAGAAACAGAAAATTTTGCAGATGAAAGAACATTCTTTTCAAGGGTAGTTTATGGCCCAAACAGTGTCGGGAGGTGCTGGACCATCTACCTGCTGGTTACATCTGGATAAGCCCTCTCAGTGAGCTGAACAAATTCCCATTTTGTTTCCAAACAGTCCTCTTACCATTAAAAATAACCCTCTGAGTTATTATTGCTCCTGACAAGTCAATGGAGATATATGCTAACATCCCTCCACCAGGAAATAAAATCCCAATCCCCAAGTTCACTTAGAAAGGTTTTGGAACTCTGTTGCTACCTTCTCTTTAAAGAAACAAACCAAACAACAACAACAACAAACCTCCTTAATGAGGAATATCAGCAATTAATTGTCATAGTTTTCAAACACATGGCTCTCTGATATTAGACAAGAATTCTAATCAGCTCATACTCTGCATCACAAAGTAAATAATTAAAAAATATATACTCAAAAAGACCTTTCAACATTATCCACCATGCGGTCTTCACCATCTCTACAAGACTTTTTGGAGGGAAGAACAGGGAAGTCTTAGCAAGGCTATTAGACTCATGACTCAACAAGAACTCTTACATAAACCAGTTCTTTTCCTATTATAAAATGTTCTAAATTTTACTTAGCTTACACATAAATAGATCTCTCAGCTTACTTCACTAATCACAACAGTCTAAAAAGGAGTAGGCTAGACCTAGATTTATGCCATCTAGTTTTTTGAGAGTGAAGGGGCTCAAAGAATCACTTAAACAGAAGGCCTCTAACCTGCCTTGGCCACTGATGCCACCTAAGAGTTTGAAAGTTAGATAAGAACGAGGAGGCCATAACACATTCCAAACTTGTAAATATGTTTCAGCATTTCCAGTCACATTGAAGTGTTATAAACTGGTGTTCAAAACCAAGCTTATCTTTCCACATACTCGTTAAATAGGACAGTGAATAGATAGATAAGGTCCATACTGTTTGAACTTACATCTTAGCTCTCTTGCTTACTAATTGAGGTGTCCTTGAGCAAGTTACTTGATTTCTATGAGCTCGAGTGTCCTCATGTATAAAATAGAGGAAATAATATTTATCTCAAAGAATTCTTACATGGGCAAATGAGAAATTGTATCTAAAGCATTTAACACCTTGTATGGATTATAGAAAGCTCTCAATAAATGATTATTCTGATTATATTGTCCTATAATCTTGGAGATACAGCAAAACAGTCTTTTCGTTGGTCGTTAATTCGCTGCAGTAACGCTAAAGAATAGAAAAGTAAATTTGGAGTAAAACGGGTCAAACATGTGGTGACATTAAAGAATTTTTTTAAAAAAAGTAAATTTAGATTCCAACTCAAATATCTTCTGATTTCACCATAATCTGCTTACAAACATCCAGGCTTTTATTTCTAATTTAATTCATATAGTTTCTCCTAAGTATTAGGCACTGGAGTATAAACACTGAGGAGGATAAAGAGAGAAAATATGATACAAAGTTTTTTATTTTTGTTTTTTTTTTTTGGCTTCTTTGTGTGTAGGTATATATTGCTGTATTTCACTTATGGAGTGGAGGTAGATTATTTAGTTCAGAGTCAATTTCACAGCAATAAAAGTACATATTATAAATGTCCTACTCTTTCTTGCTACCTTATACAATCATAAGAAATTTCCATGATCTGTAATTCCATAGCTCAACTTCACCATCTAGTGGCCTGTGTAAAACTGAGCCTTGAAAGTTAGGGAGCAATCTCAGACTTCCCTTAAATTACGATGGCAGATTGATTTCCAAATCTCACTCCCATGGCTTGACTCTCTGGACTCAAAAAAGCCTTTGTTCAACCTTGGAATGAATTAAGTCACCCAGAGGGCAAGAGTCCAGGCCATTTGCTCAAACTTCCCCACCTAGTGTCTGAATATCTTAATTCACACTGGTGAGGTTTCAGTAATAGTCCTACTTAATGGCTAAGCTCTCTTGTCCATTTTATCTTTCCTCCACAATGCTGAGAAACTCTGGTTCCCTGGTGCTGACCTTTAGGTAGTGTGAAAGATATAGAGGCCACTGAGGAAATCCCCTACAGAGACAGACTCAAGTCTAGAGAGCAGCTATGGGGGGAAGGGTGATGTGTAATGGGTCTGGTGTGGTACAACCAGTACTCCAGTTTCTTTAAAACTGTTACTTCTAAGTCCCCTCCCCATGCTGCTCCTGACTGTTGTGGGTATGACCTCTATATTACTCCACGAAAAGCAATAAAGTATTTTGTACTTTGTTTTATTTCATTCCGTAAGAACAGGCCTGTATCTGCTTTGCTCACCCCTGAACTCACAATGCTCAGCATATAGTAGATGCTCGACATAGAGTTGTTAAAGAAATGAAGGAACAATTGAGTTACCAAACTGCAAACAACCATCAAATATAAGGATAATGCAAAATATCCACGATTCCTGTCCCCAAATTCACTTTTTTAACTTCTATTGAGTTATGATTTACATACAATAAAATGCACCCTTTTTCGTATACAGCTCTGTGGATTATGAAAAAAGCATAGAGTCATATAGCCACTACCACAAGATACAGAATACACAACAAAAAAATTCTCTTCCTGCCCTTTAAAGGTCAACTCCTTCCCCCACCCCTTCTCCTGGCCACCACTGATGTGTTTTCTATCCTTGCAGTTTATTCTTTGTCCCAAATGTCACAAAAGGTAGACTTTAAGTCTGGCTTCATTCACTTAGCATTACACTTTTGAGATTCATTCATGTTGTTGCATACATCAGTAGTTCATTCCTTTTTATTACTGGGAAGTATTCCATTGTACAGATGCAATGCAGTTTGTTTAGCCATTTGTTGCTAATTTGGATTAGCAAGATAATTTGGATTATTTCCAAGGTTGTTTGCATTTTTTGTTTTGTTTTGTCTTTTGGCAATTACAAGTAAAGCAGCTCTTAACATTTTCATGCAGATTCTTAGAGGGCTTAATTTTTTATTTCACTTGGGTAAACATCTAGGAGTGGAATTGCTAGGTTGTATAGCAAGGCTATGTGTAACTTTATAAGGAACTGCCATATCATTTTCCAAAGATGCTAAACCATTTTACATTCTCGTCAGCAATGCATGAGAATTCCAGGTGCTCTGCATCCCTTGTCAACACTTGGTATTATCAGTTTTTGTTTTTTGTTTTTTCCATGTTAACCATTCTAATAGGTGTGCAAAAGTATTGCGCTATGGTTTTAATTTACATTTCCTGACTATAGTGTTGAGCATCTTTCCATGTATTTATTTGCCATCTATATAATTTCTTTGGTAAAATGTATATTCAAATGTTTTGCCCATTTTGTTCTTAGGTGTCTGTTTTCTTCTTCGTGAGTTTTAAGAGTTCTTTATATATTTTGAAAAAAGTCATTTTTTATCAGATATATGATTTGCTGATATTTTCTACTTGTCTGTGGCTTGACTTTTAATTTGTTTTAAACTTCTCTTGTTTTAACACCAAGTTTCCTCCTCTGACTTTTCAAAGACTACAGAATGGTTTAAGAAATGTAGGTATCTGAAGGGGAAAATCTCCATGGCCCACCTATAATTTGCAGAGGGGGCTTCCTCGGAGGCTCAAGGTTCTCATTGACCAACAATTTCTGATTAAGGCCAATAACCTGGTTCTTTCAGGCTCTGACATTTCAGGAAGTTGCACATGTGTGCACTTCTGACTGTCCTCCCCCTAGCTCCCCCTCCCCTCTAGAAAGATCCTCTTCTCCTTTCAGCTCTCTGCACTGTTGTCTAGAGCAAAGTAGCCCCAACTCTAAGTCAGGAGCTGCCCTGTCAGAGCACAAGGCAGGCTGAGGGGAAGGCACGGAGAGGACTGAGAGGATGGGGAACACTCTGCTGAGGGAAAACAGGTGAGTCTAGACTCCCTAAGATAGACCAGAGTAGATGGGTTAGGGCAATGTTGCAGGAAAGAGAAAAAGAGGTCTGCTCTTGGGATTAGGAGAAGGAAACTGGGTAAGGAATCGAAAAGATTGACATTGCCTACTATATGCCAGCCACTAGGTGTAACTCATTATGGGTTTGGCCTTCTCCTGAGAATCACAGTGAGCAGCTGGTGGAGAACAGCTAAAAAAGGACAGACTTTATCAAAGGATGTCTATGTAACAGACCAGCACCTAAGAAATGGAACGACTTTTTGAGGCCCAGGAAGGAATGCTCTTCTGCCCTCTTAATGCCCCACAAAGAGCTCAAAGACACCACCACCCTTTTAGTCACTATTTAAGTTCAAAGTAAATAACAAGCTGCCTGCCATTATAAGGTCTTGTCTGATGAACATTTCCTGCAACAGGTAAGCCGAAGTCATTGAAATTGGTAGAGAACTTGGCTTAACATTTCTGGATCTCAATTTTCTCATGTTAAATGAAAATAATAATATAATACATACCTTGGAGGGTTCTAGTGTGTGTGATACTAACATAGTGCCTGACATATAGTAGAGATCAACAAATATAAGATATTGGGTTCTTTTGGACCATCATCACTAACATCAAAGCAGCCATTGTAAAAATTACAAAGACTCTCTAGTGTACAAAGTGAGATGGTCCAGAGAGAATGAGTGGGGGGAGGGGGATGATTTTATAAGATTATGTTTAGTGTCCCAGGTCTCAGTTCATGCCACTGGGAGGTAGGACACAGGACCCAAAATGCCACCTGCTGAAAGAAAGCTTTGCAAGCCCGTGGAATGTCTCCTGTCCCTCCCTGAGAGTCAGTGCTGTATGAGACTTCTCCTCCCAGAGCTTCAGAGTCCTTTGTCAATCTGCAACTCTAGCATTCTTTTATCAGATTGTAAATCCCTATTTCTATGTCTTGATGTGAGCGTCTCAAATGTAAAGATTGCTTACTATTCATTTTCGAATTCCTATTTTCTGGCATTGTTTCTGGCACATAGTAGGCACTCAATAAGTGTTTGATAAGTAATCGGAAACATAAAAAAAAAAATAAACATCTTGAGAAGAAAAATAAAACAAAACACAGATATGATGTGACTAAAAAAATCATGATTGCTATAGCATTTGCAATTTTGTTTTTTAAACTTTGGTATGAGGTGGAGGATTATAACATTAATACATAAAAAAAAATGGAAAATGCACAAAGTGTAAAAAAAGAAAAACTGGTAAATCACAGTTATAACTACTGATAACATTAGAAGTATTATCTTTATGTCAATGTCTATATTTTTAGCCATCTGTATTCCTTCATCTAAGAATCAGTAATGTATTTAGTACATTTATATTATCTTTATGTCAATGTCTATATTTTTAGCCATTTGTATTCCTTCATCTGGGTTTTGGTCTACTTTGTTTTAATGAAAGTAAAATTTACATGTACTTTGAAGAAATTAGCCATTTCTCATAAATATTACAAGAAGTGTTTTTTCAGTTTGTGTATCTTCTGCTATCCATAAAAAAAACTTGTTTTTTTATTATTATTATATTTAAACACATTTGAATCTAGAATATTTTTTGGTTTATACCAATTTATGTTTAAAAGTTTTCCTGCATTTCAAAATATGACAAATTCACGCTGTAATTTGTTATGGTTGTATTATTTTACATTTAATCCCATACATTCAATATATGATGTCAGATATAATTTTTTTTCCAAATAATCAGTTAGCCCAGCATCTTCATTTCCATGTTGATTTAAAATGTCTCCCTTAATATATTCAAAAGTCTTACATTTACTTTGATCTGCTTTTCAACTTTACCCTTACCACCTGATTATCATCCAATGAGTGCACCCCCACAATGTCTCTCCAGATCAAATTTGTTACAAAAGCCAGAGAAATTTCCCCTCATTGGGCAGAATGACACCTATCCTTTAATGAAGAGCTCAGAGTCTTAGAGGAAGGAATCTGCCAGAAGCAAACCAACTCCCTCCCACTTACTAGATGGAGGTCTTCAGAAGAGTTGTCTAATTGTTGGCCTGTTTCCTCACTGATAAAAAATAGAATCATAGTATCTACATCATGGATTTATTTTGGCATTAAGTAGTATAACATAAAATGTATGTTATATACATTTCATTAGTAGTATACATAGTAAGTATAACTAGTATAAGTAGTATATATATATAGTGCATATATATATTTATATATATAAAGTATATAGTAAGTAGTAAGTGTACAGTAAGTAGTGTTTGTTAGTTTCTTTTCCTCTATACTCCCAACTTCCCACAAATGAAAAAATGGTTATATAGAAACCCAACACAAACAATAAAACAATTTATTTTCTTAATTTAATATTTTCTTCCCCTTTTATCCCATGTTCTCTGCCTTGGTGTTTTCTGTGAAAGATGGCAATTTACATGAGATAAAGCCAATATTCTCCCTTATACCCGTGTACAGTCCCTGAAACTGTATCGAGTATATAAGCCTCTCTAAATACTGACATTCTCAGGGTAATCATGCAGATTTTAAGACATTTGGAAACAAATGATTTAGGATCGGTCGTGTATGGCAGTTGTTAGAGAACATTGGTAAGCTGTTGCTATTGCTATAGAGAGAATGTCAGATCAGAGATAGTGGTATATACTTTAGGAGGGCGTATTAACAGATGAGAGGGCAACAAAAGGAAGATGAGGTGACCCAGGGTTACACACAAATAGCACAAATGGAGAAAGTGGGAAAGATTGTAAAGAGGTGGCATGCTTGGAGAGGAAATACATAGCTCATTCCTGATGTGTTGAGTTTTAGGTGGCAGCAGAACACTCAAGAGATACCCTGGAATCTGAAAAATCAAAACTTCAAACGAAGAACATCCAGGTGAGAGTAAATCCAACAGAACCTCTCCCATCCTTTGCCCATGAAGAGTGAAGTCTGTTAGTTCCTGGCCCTCACACACCCTACAACACAGGCACTGCTTAGATATAGCAGCAGTTGTAATGATAGTAAATGAAGAGACAACACAAAAGACAAAATTATTTTGAATCTTTGGCAAGAGATGTGCCATTTTGCCAGAAGCCTAATCTAACTTCTAGCAACCAGAAATAAGACCCCTATTTCTTGTTGTCTCTTTGTTTGTCTATCTCAAGTATCTTTATACTCAAGCTTCATCCCAGCCACATCATTTTAAGCTCTAAGGTTCTATTTCTGAGGTGACCACATCCCCCATGTCACTACAATTGTTGAAAGGTTTGTCAAGAGAAATATCTGTGATTACTGTGATGCTGTTAAACCAAGACTTCCTTATCAATCTTTTCTAACCAGGCCTTTTGAATGCCAGGAATCACTAAATGTGGAAATAATGTCCCAGCGTCCAAGAATCCCAGAGGGAAAAGCCAGTTGTTCTGTGCCCTGTAGAGTTATCTGTACTTTCCCCATGGTTTCAAGAACAGCTTTTGAAAGAATATCAACTAAAAAACACCCATTGAGTCAAAGCCTGGGTTAGGAAGTAGGGACCCAGAGATGCCTTCTTAGCAAGTGCATTTCTTCATTGCAAGCTAAAGAGGAGTCATCGAACATATGTTAAAGCATAACTCCAAATGATGAAACAGGCCAGAAGGGCCATGGGCATTATAACAAGGGAGAGATTGGGTAGACTGGAGAGCCAGGCAAGCTTTGTGAAAGAGATAGGAACCAGAAATTGCTGGCACATAGCCTGGTGTCATAGAGATTCATCTGGCCTCCTTCATGGAGGTTATCTGAACCCATTCCAAATGAAAACATCCTAATTGAAAGGAAAGAATATATTGCATAAAAGTTGAGTGGGGGAAATAGTCAATTCAAAAATTATTTTTGCCCATTTTTAACTTTATTTGACCTCTATGAAGTAAACTGTATAAGCATTCTCACTTTATATATTAAGAATGTGGTTCAGGAAGTCCAGAGATACTGATTCAGCCACTCAAAATCAACCATCTCCTTTCATCTCACTCCCACATTCCTTGGTGAACCTGATTTCATAGTATTGGTGTGATTCATTGGTTTCTTTCTGATGTTTCTTGAGCCACAGAAAGAAGAGGTTAAACAAATGGCTTAAACAATCCTGAATATAGCCTGAAGAGGAAGAAAAACTTCAGCCTCTCAGCCCCAAAGGCTCTGATAGTACATAGACCCTAGAGGCTGTCAGAACACTCAGCCACCTTGGCTCCCACAGCCAAGGTCACATGCTGCAGCTTTGTCTTCACTGCCCTTTCCAAGGGAACTCCCTGGGAAAGCTCACAGGGGGACGTATTTCTGGATGTGTTTCAAACTTTTTAACGTAGTGTTACTGGCACATGCAGTACTTTTCGCATTCAACCGTATAGGATTTGACTATGCCTTGTGTTCAGAAAGATGCCCAGAAAGATACTTAGACGTCATCATAGATGTCTGGCTGCAGAGAGAGCCTGAGCCTTTTTGCCATAAAAAAAAGATAAATCCTGCTTATTTAGCTATACCTTGGAGCCAAAGAGGCAGATTTGATAATCTCCTGAGTTGGTCTGTGCTTGGCTAAAATATTTATTGAAAATATATTTACTATGCACCAGACACTGTGGCATATGTTAGTGATCAGATAAATATGGTCCCCAATCCTATGACGCTCATGGTCTAGTATATGAAATAAAGGGAGCATACAATTATAATATGGTATAAATAGGAGAAATTCAGAATGCAATGGAATCCTGTGTAAATATTGCCTAACTTGTACTTGGAAGAAATTTCTAAAATGTCCACACATTTATGCCTTGATTTCCTGGAGATAATTCTTGTATGTCCTTCATCACAAGGGACCAAGGAAATCGGTGGAATTCAGGATGAGCAAGTTTTTTTTCCTTTGCAGGGAATACAGCAGAAAGTTCTTTCCCTGACTAGGAGCTGATTGTGTCATCTTCATATTTCCAAAGCACCAATTAATGTCTTGGAGGATAAAGGCATTCTAGCACGATTGGTGTGTCCAAGTCACCTAGAATGAATACTCTTTTGTCGGGGCAAAAAACTTTTTTTTTTTACAGAAATGGAAAAGGGAAGAGAGTTAACCTAACAAAGCTGCAGAAACCAATCTTCTGATTTGTGTCATCTCTTGGGTATTTTAGATGGTGGGATTGCCACATCACTGAAGGGTATTTCTGCCTTCCATGGTAAGTGGAGCATTATTTTCAAGAGATATTTCCCTAAGTGTGGTTTCAGTGTGGTATTTGCTGTAAGTTACCTGTGAACATTTGGCACACTGATGCTTGTCACTGTCCCTGACACAATCATCTGAAAGCCAGTCAGAGAAGCAATGCTTTGAGTTTGGTGAAAAACAGGAACAATAGTTTCATAGGGTATGTGCTCCTCAAATGGGAAAACCTCAGAAGCAAGGATGAAACTGGTTACCAATGCAGAGAAATACCCCTTAATCACACTGCAAGTCCCAGAATCTCCATGTAGAGAAGCACACATTCTTTCCGTTGCATAAAGAATTTATAATCAGGGTGATCATATAATTCATCGTCCAAACTGGGAAACCTTTGAGAATGAAAGGGATGCTTAAAATAGTTAAGGGTCACTAAGTGATTGATAATGACAATAACTTGACTGAGCAAACCAGGACATGTGTGGTCAATCTCCTTAGAGCAGATGTTCTTTACTCCTGAGATGATCACAGACATATTATACTTACATTCTGTTTTTCCGGGGGTTTGTCCATACAGTGTAGTTACCTCTGTGCTCATGTGAGATTTGTTCGTATGTTTGCTTGCTTCTTTGTTTGGAGATAATAGATTGGGTTTGGGGTTAGAAGTAGAAATAATCATAGCTCCTTAGCTCACATGATATAAAATAAATTAACAATTTGTCAGAAAAATATCTTCAGAAAAGTTATTTGTAACATCATTGCAGTTCTCCATATGTAAATCAATTCCATGTCAGCCTTAGAAAAGGGAAAAGAAAAGAGAGAGAGAAATACAAAGGCATTGATTTCTGCTTGATCTCATCCTGCATTTTTCCCCCTTTTTTCTATTCTCTTATTTCTTTATGCTGAAGAAGGTATTTTTTTCAGATGAAAGAGTCAAAAGTAAGCTTTTATAAGGAATATAATTTCCATTGAGAATTTCTTAATATTGAAATAACCAACTTAATTTCCTTTCCTTTTACAGGAAAAAAATACACAATTTTAAAGCCAAGCAAGATTCCCCAAAGGAAAGTAAGTTATTGCTTTTACATGGTTTTCACTTTTGATAGACTTCTATTTCCAAACCCCGCTTTCTCTGTGCTCCCAAAACTCCTTCGGCATACTTCTGTATAGAACTTGCATATTTTGCTGCAATTTGTCCAATTCATGTCTCTATCTCTCCACTAGACTATTAGCTCATTGAAACAAGAATTGGCTTATTGATTCCTATATCCTTCAGTTAGTCCCTGAGGTCTGGAGGCTGAAGAAGTTAGCTGGAAATAGTAAATGCACAATGAGGAGTTAAGCACTCATAAAGAGCTACAAGGAGGCCAACGTGGGCACAGAGAGCACAGAGGAGGGGCAGGACCTGGTGGCCAAGTTTAAGAATGGGACTTTTGTCTTGAGCACTACAGGAGGTACTGAAGGGCTTTCAATAAGGGGCCAGTACAATCATATTTGCATTAAAGACATCACCCAAGTCACTGTTGGGAGAACAAATTGTAGTAGGGAGTGGCAAGAGCAGATACTGGACGACCATGTAGGAAGCAGATGCAACCATCTCTGTCAACAGAACAGGCTGAAGTTAAGGAGAGAGAAGAATTCAAGAAAGAGAGGATGGTGAATAGTATCACATGTAAGAGAGAGAGAATAAGCAAGTATAGGCCTGAGGACAGGCTACTGCATTTCTAAAGAAAAACTAAGGAGTTTTGCCTTTGCGTCCCTGGGTTTAAAGAGGAAAGTCTATTTCATTCACTCTGAACCTTAAAAACTTATCCTGTAAGGTATGTGAATGAATAATACAGACTTCCTCCTGCCTCTGGACATTTCACCCAGAGGAACTGTGGGTCCTAAAAAACGCTAATCTGCATCTGAGCAAAGCATGGTAGAAATAAGACCGCTAATGCTGAAACTTATGGACACTTTTTTCTGTAGCAATAATCAAGGAAGACCTAGATGGCCATGGGAATCTATGGAGATGTGAACATCTGTGGTGTCAGTGCTGAGGAAATGTAAATCCATGCACTATAAAGTGGCATGCATGGGCACCCCCGCCCCCTCCTGTGCAGGGTGTTACCGTGAGGCTTCCATGTGAAAGCTAAGGTTTGCTTATTGGGCTGGTGTGTTTGTAACAGCAAGTGCTTCTTTGCAGAGTGGCCAGAGCCAGTTGCTTTTAAGTTATCCAGGTTTTGAAAACCTGGCTTGCTTCTATTTGTATCTGCCAGCGGTTTTAAGAATGGGAATGCTCAGCCTAAAAGTTTCTGCCTCTGCAAAGCTTTTCTTGAGCACCAGCTCCTACACCACCACCTTTGCCTTCCGTAAAAACAATAACTTTCCCCTGCATTGTGGATCTCTCTCAGGTCCTTGCCTGCCTCCTGTGCTAGCCTGTGAACCCCTTAACTACAGGGACTGTTTCTGATTCTTTGTGTCCTCAATGCCTGGTACAGAATGGGCATGCAATGAGTTTTGCGTAAGCAAAGAGCAAAGAGGAAGTGTGATTTCTTAACCAAAGATCCACCAAATGTGTCTCTTTCCACTCTGTCTCTCAGCAGGGTTACTGTCTCAGAAGGGTTACTCCAGCTCTTCCTTGGCTCTCTGGTTGCTTATATCTCGGCAATTCCCTCAAGTCTCCCTATGATCTGAAATTCATTGAGTGTTATTTTCTTTCTCCAGATGAAGGAACATCATCTGTCACCAACCAGGTAATATGAACATCTAGGAGTCTTTTTCTCAGATGACAGTAAAAATTTAGACACCCAGATATCAGGAGAAGTTGGCCTCCAAGACTCCTTCTAACCTTAACGTGAAAAAAAGACTTCAGATGCTCATGCTTCTGAGCCCAGGGACCTATGCAGGGCCTGGTGGCAGAAGCAGCAGCTATTTCTGTTGTGCAATTTATCGAAAGGAATTAATACTTATTGAACACTTAGTTTGTGCTAGGCAGTGTGTTGAGTGCTGAATACTCTGGGTAGTATGAGCACTCTGGCTGCCTGGGCTAAGGCTTGGGGTGGGAGCAGCCATTCAGGAAAAATGGCCAAGAAGTGTAAGGTAGATGGTTTGTGGAAAACAGACTTTGCCCAGGGTCGGGCCTGTGTTGAGACTGAAGTGTAAAGGGGCTAAGACGCCAAGTCTTGATGGTAGCTCTCCTTTGATCAGCAGGACAATGCTGACCAGAACTCAGCAGAGGAGTTGTGCTATACCCTCATCAATCACAACATCCTCATGAGAAGGCCATCAGGGACCTCTGCCGAAGGCCATTATGAGAATGTTCCCCACCAGGCTGAGAGGCCCAGAAAGTTGTTGGGAAGAACTGAGACCGAGTACTCGCTTCTTCATGTGCCTTCCACTCCTAGACATCCACCTTTCCCAGAAGATGAATATGAATTTCTCATGCCAAGGAGCATCTCCTCTCACACATTGCAACCTCCACACCTACTTATGCTCCCTTCTGAGGCTCATATTTTTCATTTATAATGAAGTGGTTGGACTGATATTTATTTAACACCAGCAAATAGAAGCTGGAGGATGAGGAGTTCTGGTTGAAGCAGGCATGAGGCACAAAGTCCTCCCAGCTTACTTTCCCACACCCCCCGCATATACATAGCAGCCCTTTCTACAGGGGTCTCTGCAGAACATTGTTTGTAAACAAAGGGCCTCTTAGATCCTATTCAGTATTCAACATCCAAAGATCAACCAACTATCCTGAGCACCACTCTTTGAGAAGGGAGTGACTGTATCTGGTTCTAAGTGGCTTTGGAAATGAGCTGCTTTACTCAGTAGCAGGAGGGGCTCCCTGGTTTTCTATAGCTGTGCACATCACAAAGGGTTCTGCTTCTCTGTCCAAGTTCTTCTTAAAAAATGTCCACATGATTGTCCTCTGAAGTCAAAAGGAATCCTTACCCATCATACTGTACCCAAGGGGGAGTTTACTTATTCTACATGTGTTTGTGGGCCTGATGCCTCATTCATAGACTTCCAGGTGAGTGCCAGTACATTTCTCTCACTCCGTGACTCTAACAATGTCCTTTGCATAAAGTCTTTTGATACTTTGGCCCTGGTGACTTGGTTAGGTACATGGGTTGAATCAGTAAATCCCAGGCCAAGATTTTATATAATTTTATGTATAGTTTTCATCTTTTTTTTTTTAACTTTGTATTTCTCCTCAGAAATCTTAATAAGAAAATCATAGCATCAGAGACTTATAGAGTAGAAAGATCACTGGAGATCCTCTAATCTCATTATCTTTTTTTGGCTCATTAACCCAATGTAACTTTGCAAGTTATTTAGCAGAACTTTATCTGGAGCCTGATTTCTGAGCTTCCCATTCAGTATTCTTCAAATATACTACATAGAAGAGCCTCTGCTCTATGGTATATCTGTGTATTAAATAAATATGTCATGTATAAAATATGAATAAAATGTTCACGTGGGAAAAATAACACACACACACATCCACACACACCTTCACTAATGAGCACTTCTCCATATGCTCTGATTATTTTCCCTCATCTTTTCCTCAATGTTCTTAGAATTATGTCTACCCTCTAAAACAAACTATGGCTCACAAGCCAAATCTGGCCAACTGCCTATTTTTGTAAATAAAAAGTTATTGGAATAATTTAGCCATGGTCATTTGTTTATGTAATGTTTGAGGATGTCACAGGAGAATTGGGTAGTTGTGATACACACTGTAGGTCATACCAAAAAAAAAAGGCAAAAAAATTTACTTATTGACCCTTTTCAAAAAAAAAGTTTGTAGACCCCTGCTCTAAACAATCATAACTGAGATAAACTAAACAGAAATGTGTTTGGGTATTGATGTAACACAGAAGAGCTGGTACCAATGAAATGGTATAGAAATACAAAACCACAAATTAAATGAGTAAATCTAAGATCAAATAGCAAATTAGACTATTTCTATATTCACACCTGTGTTCTTAACTTCTTCTTTTATTTAACCCCTGGTTATTGTACTAATTTTAGGGTTGTTAAAATAGTAAGAGATTTGTTGAGACAAGTAGTAGATGTGTTGTGTTTAATTACTGCTTTGTTCCCTAAACTGACCCAAATTAAATTACCTTATTACTAAAAATGTTCTAGAGCCCAAGGAGAATAAATCCAGTGGCTCGAGGTGGATGTGTCAACACAGGTTTGCTTAGATTTCAGCCAGTTGATGGTCTTCAGCTAAAGAGCTAATTACATTTAGCATCTCATCCTCTGCTAATTCCCTATTTTTAGCAGAATTCTTTCACATGTAACCCTAACTTTGACCCTTGGCCAGGATTCACTCACGTTCAAAAGGAAGCATGGGTGGTAGCAGGGAATATTATATGAGTGTAACATGGCTTAGAGGAAAGAGTATGGATACTAGAGTTAGATAATCAGTGATTCAAATCCTGGTTCTATCTCTTACGCTTTCTGTGACCTTGAGCATGTAATTTGGAGGCTCAGCTTTTTCACTCATAAACAGTAGAATTACATCTAATGTACATAAATCATCACAGACCTTAAATAAATGGTATCAAATAGCAAAGGGAAACAAAATACTTTAAACATAACAGAGAAAATGTGCTGATATGCCTGGTGATCCAGGGTCACCCAGCAATCTTTCAGTAAAGCAGAAACATGAAATTGCTGGCTTTTATGTTGGAATTTTTCATTTGAACATTGAACCATTGAGGAAGCTGATTGATTCAAATATTCTTAGTTCAACATGGTAAGTTATATTTGAGTTTTATCCTACAAAAGTATTACCTTTCCCAAATAGTGAATGTGTTTTATCAGGAAGAAAATTGTTCTTACAATGAAATTTAAAAGGATTATGAAAGAGAACTATTTTTGAACAAGAAAGCCCATTGGGAGTGCTTTGAAATACCTATAGTGTCTTTCTATATATACATATATGATCTTTTTTCATAAATTTCAGGATTTCTGATAAAAGCTGTTCACAATCTTCACAGAAAATCATACAATATTGTATATGATTTCAAGGAGTTTGGGATGTAACCCCTTAGTTAAAGAATTTCTGTTCTTCATAAAGAAACTGAAGTTTAGGATTTAAATTGCACTCCCAAGTCACAGATATATCAGAAAACTCCTCTCCCTCATGCTGGTCTTAAAACTGTACACAGGCAAAGTTCACAGAGGCAGATTTTATGCAGCAACTGTAGGCTCTGTGGTTTCCATTTTATGTTCATACTCGCACCTATAAATAGTCCCTTAGTCTGTGAATACCTTCTTATTTAGAACAGAATAGAGATACAAGAAAAGGACAAAAATAGATGAAGAAAATCTGCTGTTGACAACAAATAAATTCAAATGCTGACCTTTTTAGGACAACTGAGGGTGACAGGCTCTGCACCTATTCTCAGAAACAGAGGGCATAGGCAGAACAGAAACAATGAGCCCTCAGAACTCCACAGGAGCCTTCAGAGTAAAGGAGATTCTGTTTATATTTTATCTGACTCTGTTCTCTTCCAAGACAGCCTCTTGTGTTCAGAAAGCAATTTGAAAGCCACCTGATCTGAGCAAACCTCAGTTCTACCAACTGTTAAATAGATTAGTATAAGTCCCTCCTGCTTTCTTACAGAGGACTCTTTTGCAATGCACTCAGGGAAGGATTGAGTGTCATTATCATCCAGAGTCTTCTACAGTCTAGTGATCGCACTTCTCAATTTATCCCTCCCTCTTCACCACTAGTGTTCCTTGTAGATTCCCAAATAGCAGCCGAACGTGCACTGAGCATGACCTTGGGGTGCCCATCAGGATGGGAGGCCATTGATGGTGTGTGGTTTCCCTAGCTGAGCTTTGCTTTCAAAAACTGTGCAACTCTGGGCTTGTCCTTCCACTTCTCCCTGGATCCTAACTATAAGAGGAGGGGACTGCCTTCTCATTCTAAGAGGATCTCTAATTGTAAAGAAAATATTAAAGGATGTCTCTGGACACATCTGTCATCAATGCAGTAATAGTGTAAATTACTTATGTTAAAGAAATATAACAGTAGTGGGAAAAGAGAAAACTTAGATGTCTCTCATTTTCCTCAGCACTGATCAGACTCTGAATAGGGCAGGAGTCTATGTCCAGAGTCCACATCTAAATTGGAAAAGAGAGACGTGTACCTCATCCTCATAAGACACAGATGTGTGTAAAGAAAGGCAAACCTGTTTGTTCGAATCCCACCACTGCTTCAGGGTTTAGCTTGTGTCCTACTTTCTAGGCAGAGCCTTCTCCAATTAAACTATACCAACGACTCTTTTCTCTGATCACCCACGACCCTACAGTTTGTCTTTAACTTTAACACCTGACTATTTTTTTTTTCTATTTTTTTCTTATCTGTGCAGAACCTGACTCCCTATATGACTAGTAGCTTCTTTTATTGTCTTCTTAACTGGTGCCTCCTATAGCCTTTTGCAAAACACATCATTGAAAAGTCTATAGAACTAAGTTAAATTGCAAGGCAAAAAGGAATTGGACACAGGGATAGAATTTTCGTTAGAGTTGAGGGATAGGTTCCACTGATCTGGCTGTATGTATTCTTTTTGTCCATGTCCAAAAAACTTCTAGAAAAAAAAAAACAGGTTTACTTCTCAAATCAATTATTTCACAGATATTTGTTGAAACCTTGTTATGCACCAGATATTATGCTCATCAAAATGCGTGAGGACCGATAAATTCACCTCTGATAGCAGAAATGTGAATACTTAAGTGCCATTTTTTCCATACACTTTAAAAAGTTTAAGTCACACAGTTCAGTTTTTTTCACATCACCTGGACCAAAGAGTCAACCCTAAGGAAAATCCTATGACTTATAAGTGATGAAAACCTAGACAAGATATTTGCATCTTGGTGCTTTCCAATGGAGAAAGGAAGATCAAAAACAAACCCTGTGTTGTCCTCGGATATGAGCCAGCCCTTCCTTCCAGCCCCAGGCCCTCCAGACGCTCGGCCCTGCCAGAGAGGGCCCAGGGAGGAAGTGGAGAAGATTGAAGGCCCTGCCCTGTGCTCACTGGAACAGATAGGAGGACTCAGCCCTCCCCAGCACACCCCAGTTCAGTCTTAGTCCCTCAGAAGGGGAAGCTGCCCCAGGGAAATGAGAAGATCACTTCCAACACCATTTAGTGTAAGGAAATCCCAACCCAAATCATGGCCCTGTAATGTCAATACCAATGAAGTAAATGTAAATGTAATAACGCACAAAAATAATTTATTGTATTTTTAAATCCTTTTCTATTAAAGTTATTCATTATTTTCTAAAAAGTACACTAAGGTTTATATTTGACATGTAAAAAACAAAGAGGAAGAAGGAAAATTCACCTGTTTCACTAGTTTGAGGAACTATCGTCAAAATGAGACACTGAGTTACAATAAGAACGTTCGCATCATCCAGAGTCCTGGGTCATAAAGAGCTCAAGGCAAACCTCCCTGAGACACACACTTGGGCACATCCCCATACACAGCTGCCCCTCTTACTGGCTTCCATTCAAGGCTCATTTAACTGAGAGGTTGGGGCTAAGGGGCTCTCATTTTAAGACCACGAAACTCCTTCTCCTGGAAAATTTCCAACAAAACAATTTTCTCAAAAAAACAAATACTGTGTTCTCTCATGACAGGCAATTCTGTATCTGCCAATGACCAACATGGTCACCGATATCCCTCATACCCTGCAAATAAATTGGCATTAAGCTTCCAACAGTTCATTTCAAACAAAGAGTGGTTCTTCCTTTTTCACAACCATCTTCAATAAGATCCACGAACAATGCCTGAAGACACCGAGTAATACAGGAAGGCTATTAACAATGGACAATGAAAAGCCAATGTGTAATAGCTACAGCAGACAGTAGGTGGTCTTACTGATTCCCTGATGGAAGTTTGTGAAAATATACATGGAAAAACTATCCAAAATGATAGCAGTGTGTTCAAAACTCACAGAAACCAAGTTTCTGAAAGAGGGGTTTAGGAGCCACAGGAGCAATGAGGAAATGCAAAATAATTAAGGAACACACATCTTATTTCTGCAGTTATATATAATACAGTAACAGTAATATGCCCACCCACGATGGTTTGCTAAGACATGCAGATACAGGTGATGGAAGCAGACACAGAACCACGCTGCTTAGGTCTTGTAAAGTGCCTTGCTTTTCCTCAAAGACTTGCTTAGAGGTAGATCAAATATAATGGTGAGTGAGAGGAGGACTTCAGTGATCGAATGGTCCAATTCTCCCTCACCTCTTTGCCTGCCTCTTCCTGTGCTCTCTCCACCAGCACGGGTTAGCAGGATTCTGCCTAACGGCCACTCTAGCACTAAAGAGAAAGTGACCACATGTGGATGAAGGCACCTCGTGCTTCAAGAACAGCAGTGATCTCATACTTCAAGGTCTAGCCTTTATCACAACTGGAAACAGCTGGGGCAGCTCTCAGGTGCCATTTTGCCGGACATCATAACTGCAGAATCAGGAGAAAAAAGACCGTGTCCACCTCTCTAGGCATTTTGAGTCCTTCTGGGTTAATTCACAGGATCTTTTCCTTAAGACGAATTACTTCTCTTCATCCCACAACAGAGTAAAACAGAGCTTCCAGACACAGACCAACCTCCACCACTTCACTCTAAAAAGAAAATACAAACAAAAGGTGCAAATATTTTAAAATCATGGTTATTTTAAACATTTATATTTTTATTTTACTTTTTTGGACTTGAACATAAACTCTTATGTAAAATTGGAATGCTTATAAATTCCTAACAGAAAAAGTTTACTCTTCAATCAACACTCACCACACACACACACACACACAGACGCACACACACGTATGCACACACACACGTTAACACAAATTCAAATACTTTTCAAAAGGCGATAACACATTGTTCATTTGTTTTGGTGTAATTTGTGATAAACAACATTCTGATGAGGACTTTGGGATACTGAGGACATTGTAATTCAGTCATTTTTCATAATCTAACTATAAAAGTACCTCTAAATTTTCAGTTTTTTAAAAGGTGCAGCACCACATACTGTGAAAAATTCTGATGAGAGAAATGGTGCAGACCTGGCCTGACTAAGGGAAAGGTGCCCATGCAAGGACCTGGGGACACCACATAGAGTCTGATGTTCCACTACAGGATTCTCTCAGTTGACATTTGGGGCTAGATAATTCCTCATAATAGAGAGTTGTCCTGTGCATTGTAAGATGTCTAGAAGAATCCCTCACCTCACCACTAGATGTTAATTTAGTATCCCATATACACTCCCAGTCGTAACAATTAAAAATATATCCAGACATTGCTAAATATCCCTGAGAGGGTGAGGGTACAAAACTGGCCTCACGGAGAATTAGTGCTCTTTGGCTAAATGCTCCATTTCTTAAAGAATCTATAAACAACCAAAAGGTTTCCCTTGATGCCCAGATGGTCCTTTTAGGGACAGAACTCACACTGGCTTCTCTGCCAGCAACCTGCTCAACAGTTTACCCCCAAAATGTGCAAACTAGATTCACTGTTCTCACTGTATAGAGCTTTTTCCTCTTCTCTTTCACATGAATCCAGTTTTTGCCTTTGTTCTTCATTCAGTCTACTAGCTAACTCCTTACATGAGAGAAGACAGTACAAAATAACTAACCTATACCCAAAATAACTCATGAGATCCAAAATAAGCTGTCATTTTACGTTTGTAAAAGACTTCCTCTCCTTATCCCCCAGGCTCCACCCACATAGGAAATGAAGAAGCTCAAAGATAGCGAAAAAATTCCTTCACACTTGAAGGCATCATGCTAAGTGAAATAAGCCTGATGGAGAAAGACAAATATTTCATGGTCTTACATATGTGTGGAGTTTAAAAAAAAACAAAACTCACAGAAAAAGAGAGCAGATTGGTGGTGGTTGGGGGATGATTTGGTGAAGGTGGTCAAAAGGTACAAACTTCCAGTTATAAGTAATGAGGATCTAATCTACAATATGATGGCTATAATTAATAATACTGTTTGGTATATTTGAAAGTTGAGGGTAGATCCTACAAGTTTTATCACAAGGAAAAAAAAAATCATTTTGTAATGTGAAAAAGAAACAACAGACTCAAAAGGAAGTCACTTGCTAAGCCCCACCAAGACTTACCACCGAACCTAACTGCAACTGACACCTCTACCGGAATGGAATGTTAAACCGATCTGTCTGGAATGTCCTGGTCAGCACTAGTGCTGTAATCTGCCTGATAAATCAGCCTGATAAGATCTCCTGCCTTCCCCTAAGAAGGCAATCTTGCCTGAAAATATCTACTCTTTTCACTTCCTTGTCCCACCTTCTTTCTACCAATAAAAATCTTTCTTCCATTTTGCACAACTCCTCAGAGCACTTATTTACTAGATAGGATGCTTCTTGATTCATGAATCATTCAGTAAAGCCAATTAGATCTCTAAGTTTACTCAGTTGAATTTTTGTTCTTCAATAGTAACCATATAAGGTGATGAGAGTGAACTGAATTTATTGTGGTAATCATTTTGCCAATATGTGTGTGTCAAGTCATTATGTGTACACATTAAACTCAGTGCTGTAGGTCAGTTATATCTCAATAAAATTGGAAATAAAAATAAAAATCATCTTCTGATTAAAATATTAAGGGACATTTTTATTTTTATAAGGCATCAAAATATTCCCGCAGCTAGGTCAAATAGTCATTGTATTTCCAAATCAGAAAATGAAAAATACACACAAAATACCCCAAGAATCCAAATTATAATCCAATTTAAGGTTCTGACTCTAAAGTACACACACATACATCTCCCAAAGAAACCACAGATTGCCCTTAGGGAATCCTTGGAATCTCTGAAATCGTAAAATCATGTGTAGAGGGAGGAGTATGTGCATTTTTTTCTGGGGAGAAGGTACATGCTGTCTTCAAATTCTCTAAGGAACATATAAAGCCAACGATTTTAAGAACCTCTGCTCTTTGAGGAATTAGAACATTATTTATGTGGGAAACTCATTGCCCAACTTATCACAGGAGGTAGAGGTAACCTGCCAAGACCACAGAGCATGTGAACATGAGGAATTGGTACAAGAACCCTCTGGGTCTCACTCAGACTTCCTCCTGTCCCTGCCACAGCCATCTCTTCCCTTTCTTTGGTATTTGCTTCTGAGCTTGACCCCTCCTTTCGCAGGCCTGCCATGTCTGGTCTCTCTTCTTCCTTCTTTAGTTCCCAAAGGGTCACTGTTCACCTTTCCATTTGAGACATAACTGATTTTCATATTCCTGAAAATATCAAATAGCTCAAATGCTGCACAGGCATGCTCTGGAGAGTAGATGTGGGGTCAAAACCCCTCTGCCCCCCAAAAGAAATGTCTGAGATGAAGAGTATAATCTCCAGTAAGCCCACTTCTGGGTATTTATTCAAAGAAACTCAAAACACTACTTTGAAGGGACTTGTGCATCCAGATGTTCATTGAAGCATTATTACAATAGTCAACCTGGGTGTCCCTCAATGGACGAATAGATAAGGAAGTGGTACATATATACAATGGAATATTTCTCAGCCATAATAAAAGAAGAAAATCTTGCCATCTGCAACAAGGATGGAGCTAGAAGGTATTGTGCTGAGTGGAGTAAGTCAGACAGAGATTGATTTCACTTATACGAGGAATCTAAAGAACAAAATAAATGAACAAACAAAACAGAAACAAACTCATAGACACAGACACAGAGGACATTTTGATAGTTGCCAGATGAGAGGGGGGTTGGGAATTAAAAGTACAAATTGGAAACTACAAACTGGCAGTTACAAAATAGTCATGAGGATGTAAAGCACAGCATAATAAATACAGTCAGTAATATTGTAATGAATAGGTATGCTGTCAGGTGGGTACTACACTTGTTGGGGGGATCACTTCATAAGTTATATAAATGTCTAACCACTATGCTGTATACCTGAAAATAATACAAAATAATATTGAATGTCAACTGTAATTAAAAAGTAAGAATTTTTTTTTTTTAAAGAACACAATCTCCTGAGGAGCGTAAACCATTTAGCTCATACTACATCCCCTGGGCCTTGAGGCAGAGTATGGACCTGGGGACATGTCCCTAAGGCTGTTTGGCCAAGTTTGAGGCTTTCTCAGAGCTCTCCTCAGGCTTTGTCGGCAACCAGCCTTTTGTCCTACTCTGTGTGGGCCTCCCAACCTCAGAATCCTCTTAAGCTTTTTTCATCCTCCACCCAGCTCCCTCACCTACATTTAGAAAGAGCTGGTAACCACAGTATTACGAGAGGGAGCTCAGAAAATGAAGACCAGTTGCACCACAGTAGCTCCACCACGAGCATCTCATGCAGGGTGGACCTCCCTTGTCTCACCTCTTTACACAGGAGGAGGGTTCATAGGGTTTTTCTTTATTTCTTTTTAAAATTCTAGTAGAGGAGGCAAAACTCCTTCACTCCAAACATCCATGCTGTGTGCCTGGCCCAGACACACTTTAGTTATTCAGATGTTCTGTGAGGAAAGTATTCATTTATGAGACCTTCCCAGTGAGCTAAAATTTAGCCTTCTAAATCTCATTCTTTCTACTTATTTGGGGGAAAAAAAATCTTTAAGAACTTCTATAACTTTCTGCGTTCATAGGCTGAGATTAATCTACTCTCACCTTTCATCATCAAGAAATAAATGTCATCATAATAAATGCCTCTTCTGGTGCTGTTCAGTAACATGTGCTTTATAATCTCTCTGTTCCACTCTCCTGATTCGAGGCTGCTGACATTGTGCCTGGTGCTAACCACACCTTCTTTTAATTTTCCACTTTTGTTCATTTGACTTGTATTTCCTACAACTGTTAGGTTCGCCGAAGGAGGAACGCACAAGGCTGAAGGGGTTAAAGAAAGATTTATCGTAGCAGAGTGATAGTCTGACTGAGCCGAAGATGGTATCAGCCCCAAAAGAGAGGATACCTGAAACTTATATTGGGCTTAAGTTAGTTTTTTTGGTGGGAATATTTTGGGCGGGTAAATTGGTCGAGAAGGGAAAAGAGTCCAGTGAAGCGGGAGCTGAGCATGCAGTGTTGCCAGCCCGGATGCAAGGTTGGTTCCCACACAAAGGTAGGGGAGAAGTCTGGTTCTCATACTACAGGGTTGGAGGCTGGGGGTGGGGATAGGGACCTCCTGGACCTAACACTAATGTGCAGAGATGGTTTGCGGATGAGAAAATAAAATACCCAAGAATGTTGGCATTCTGGGCTAACAAGAGCCAGTGCATCTCCAAGGGAGGCATCAGAAGTAGGTAATGAGAAGAGAGAGAAATAAAGATCAAGGCTTCAGTACAGCTGTGATGGAAGGACATTTAAAAAGCTGTGGTCATTTTACTTCCCGCTTTTCTTTTGCCAGGTTTTGTGCAGAGTTAAAGTTTTCCTGAGAAGCAGGCTGTCTTCTATGCTTATTACACATATTAATTTCCTTGTTCCATTCTTAGGTTTAAGAGTAGACGAGTACATTTATTATAATTTTCTAAGGAAAGAGACTAATTCACCTACTTATGCTCATCTATTAATTTCTTAATGGACTCAGTGTCCTTCCACAGAAAAAGAGATAGATTTCCACACTGAGATAAGCTTTCATTGACTTAGCTATATTCCTTATTTCAAATTCTTCAGCACTTAATTCTTTTGTGAAGCCATGGTTTTCCTATGAAAGTTATAGTCATACCTCAGCGATATTATGCATTTGGTTCCAGCCCACCACAATAAAGCGAGAATAGCAATACAACAGGTCGTTAATATTTTTTCTGGTGAAGGGTCTTGCCTTCAATTTGTCAAAAATGCAACACCTGTGAAGCACAATAAAGCGAAGCTCAATAAAATGAGGTCTGCCTGTACTAATGATATTATGAAGTGGAATATGGGGCTTAGAATGTGGGTGAACGCCAGTACAAGAAGGAAATATTTCGCAATCCTCATCTTTGTAGTTTAATTATTTGTTCCACAATGTTTTCCTCAACTACTCTGTCTGCTCAGAGGACAGGGACTATGTAATCTCCACAGAGTGTAGAACATCATCTGCACAGAAATCAACATGAACTATCTGTCCCCAATCTGGTTTACTTGTTAACCGTCACAATTCTGTCTTCTTGACTTGCTCAACTTACCGTAGAGCAAGAGAGACTCTGGACCAAGCCCCAGAGTCTCACAACCAGACATGTTCCGATCATGGAAATCTTGCAGCAAAATGCCCAGCACTAACTCCTCACTCATCATATACTTCAGAAAACCGTCATCTTCCGATGGAACCCCAAACTGCAGGTGGTAGGTTATCGCGGCGTTTTCACCACTGAAAAACAAACCAGAAATAGTAAAACATAACAACGACTCACATTGCAACTCAGGAAATAGGTTTTAGCAATAACATTTTTTTAGTTCCGTGTATTCTCAATTCAAAATTGCAAAGGATGTGCTGTTCTAAAAGAATCCTCTTCCATACATCCATCATGAAAAGGTCAGGTGACACCAACCTCCTCCGTCCACCTAGAACCCCTCCCCTAGAAGTCCACTGAGAGAGGCCATTGGAGGGAGAGACGTGATGCAGCTATTGTCAGTGAAGATCTGAGGGCTGGCACGTTGTCTGCCCCAACACCAGACTTTACCCCCAAGGTAGGCCAGGGAAGCCCCATTTATCTGTATTCCTCTCTCCACGTTCTCACACTACACCTGTCCCTGTCTCGGCAAGTGCATTGTTAGTCAGAGCTACTCGGTTTAGCCAATTCATTATTTAAGCTATAAAAATGTTTAGATGCCGTCATCTGTGCAGATGATGTTCTACACTCTGTGGAGGTAGAACATCATCTTTTCCCATTTCCAAAGCTCCCTGCCATCATCTGCGTGCAGGACTCCTGCGCTCCCACAGACTGCTCCATGTACCAGCAGCAAATCATACCTCCCTGATTAGTCTGCAAAGTGAGAAAACCTGTTCTACCCCATCTCCCAAGGTTCCCAGCTTTGCAACTCTCAGGAAGGCGACCTAAGGTAAGGAAGTTCTAGAAATGTCTTCGTAAAACATATTTTTCCCATTTCCAAAATAAAAAATAATCATAGGGCTATCCTCAGTTAATCAGTAGCTTATACCACTTATTAAATGCTACCCAACATTTAGGTTTTTGACAGTTATCGTATTACTTTGGTTCAAGAAGGCTCAGATTAAAAGCCAGCAATAAAATAGTTAAGAAGTGATCATATCTGAGACTCTCACTGTAGGGCAAATTTTATTTGTATAGACTTTTATATGCCAGTTCCAGTAGTGAAAGCTACCCCTGCTAAGGACAGGCAAAGAGTCCTTTCTTGTGGCCAGAAGTCCCATAGGCCAATACTCTGACATTAATGTGGCTGACAATTCAGTTTATAAACTACAACAGCCAAGAACTGTGCCGAACCCTGTGGTGACTATATGACTAATATACAGTCAGACTCTGAAGAAACTCACAGTTTCAAGGACACCACTACAGGCAGGCTGAAAAATGCACTTTCAAACTTTAAGCCAGCAATTTTAGTTTGTAGATGTTTTTCCCTGTGTTCCAACTTCTAATTATCACTAGTGATGGTCAACATCTTGGCACGTAGCAACCCAGCACTCCCATGGGTTAGGACTGGGGTCGGCTTATGGAAAAGACCAGAAGCTGACTTTCAGAAGACCAGGCCAGAAGCTGAATGAGAGGATTGCTCTACCTAATCCAACCTAAGTAGCCTGTCCTTATTCCACCAGGTAGGTCATGAGGGGTAATTTATGTAAGGCTGAATTCTGAGGGGAGAAGAGGGATTTTCAGGGAAGCAGAGAACCCTGTGGGCTTTGCCTTAGCTGCCCACCACTAGAATGGGTCCAGCAGCTGATGAACCAATGGGCATTTTCCTAAGTTCCTGTTGGGCTGGTCCAGGTCCAATGTCAGGATCCCCCTGTAGACACTTATATCCGCCAGACATGTGGCTGCCTCCTGCTCATGTGCAGCAATAGCCCTTTGGAGACAATACCTTTGTTTTAACATTATTGAAACTCTGCCTGGATTTTTTTTAAATGGAAAAAAATATTTCGCCGACAGAATTTCTTTATCTAAAATACTAAAACCTTTGGGTTTTTCATAACAATAACTTTTAAAAGCAGATTCTCTAACATTAAGTCTACAGATTTCTAGCCACGTTTTACTCAGTTTCTGATGTTTTTTTCCCAATGTCTACCCCAACTCGTTATGCAATCCCACCTCCTCTAGGCCCATAATAGGAAGCTGAATTCTTGGAAAAACTCCTCAGCCTCTGAGCATCACCCCTCTCTCCGCTCTGTCTCAGTCTTTGAGTCGCAAGTTGCAGCAAGTGCACAAAGGAAAGCATGCTGGTTCTGATTATGCATTTTTTCCTTATCTATTGGCATTTTAATACCAGTGGTACAGATTAAAATAAAGAGTGTCAAAGATGTCAATATAACGTAAGGTGCATTTGGAGATCCACAAAGAAGGAGAGCAGTGCTGTCGCCAAGGCAACTTGCCACTGTATGCATTTTCAGACTTTAGGTCCATTTTGGTTCTAATTCGTTTTGCTACCACCTGCTTTATGTGCTTCCCCTCCCAGGTCTACTCCTATTATGGTTTGGAAAATGTATAGTTTGAGAGGGGGAATCTCAATATAATTTTGCCTTTGATGTTCACATTCCAGGAGTATCTTCGGAATAGTAGATATTAGAGCTTAGTCATGTGAATCTTCCCCTAACAATACAAAAGGATAATCAAATGATTCCTCCAAATATATATCCTTTCATATGTGTCTACTGACATAGACAAAAACATTTAAGATTAGAAGAAAATTTTTAAAAGAAAAAATATATATGTGTGTGTGTATATGCTATACATGTATAGTATATAAAGTATATATGGTAAATACATGTACAGAAGAAATCACACCAAACTGTTGTTCGTTTTGTACAGGGAGTGGAATCACTGTGCATATGGAATTGGTTGGCACACACGGTGTCCAGGGATAGGAGGGAGGAGATGGGGGTAGAAGGTAGACTTTCCCTGTTGTACATATCTGTGTATTTCTTAATATTATATAAGGAACATAAATTCTTATATTACTTGTGTTCCTCAAGATCACTTGGATTCTATTATTTATATCACATCACCATCTGAGATCTATTTCTATTTCTACCATTAACTCATTTGAGTATCCACTGTAAAACAGGAATGGTGTACCTAAGACCTGCTTTTCCTCTCTTCTGTATGATCTTACTGAGTCATCTAATTGATCTGGGCTTCATTTTTTTTCCTTTTTAAAATAAGGCAGTTGAGCTAGTTGGTGTCCAAACACCTTTCCAGCACCGACACTATGATTTTATCATTGGTTCCCTTTGTGCTTTGAGACTCTGGAAGTCCTTCTAGGTAAAAAAAAAAAAAAAAAATGGTGATGGGTGTCACTTTCCAGTGAGGAAAAAAAAAACAATACATAATGCTCCACGTTCTTACCTGAAATCCACAACTTCCACTGAAGTAAAATAACGACTCAGAGACGGAGATGAACTGTACACATCTGTGAGCTGAAACAAATAGGAACGAGTAAAACCACCACACATATTACTGCCAGATTGTATTGTATATCATCTGACAAAGCAAAGCTACTCCTAGACCAAGGAGATTCCATGCTAGCTAGAAATTAGCTGATCTAGAGAGTCTGGTTCAAGAAATAGAAAGGATTGGGCTTAGGACCAACTAAAGTTCAAGTTCACACTCACTTACGAGAACCTTATCTATAAAGATCAAGTGATCACACCGGGTTTTTAACATCTCATATGTTGCCCTGAAACCTTGTGGACTTAATTGTGAATGTGGTCAGCAGCCTGAGCCCACACAGACCCCAAGAAACATGAGACGGAGAGAACACTGCTGTGGCTGGGAAGACTGCAGAATAGGTCACTCCGAGCATGCTGTGTTACTTTTCTCCTTTCTCCAGAGCTTCACTATAAGGAAGCCTGAGCCCACACAGACCCCAAGAAACATGAGACAGAGAGAACACTGCTGTGGCTGAGAAGACTGCAGAATAGGTCACTCCGAGCTTGCCATGTTACTGGACAAGGGCTCTTTTCTCCTTTCTCCAGAGCTTCACTATAAGGAGAAACAGCCATGCTAAGCCATAGGTACGGCACATCCTCCTGGAAAATGGGACCAAGTGGGGCTGGTCTATAATTGCAAAGATATAGAGTTCTTATTTTATGTATGAAATGTTGCCATCACACAAAAAAATGACACCTGTGTTCCCACTACCCAGGTTTCATGCCTTCACATTTCACCAATGTTAGTTCAGTGCTTTACTTTAAGAAACAAAACAAAGCTAAAGCTACTCCTACACGCAATTCTGTTTTCCCTCCTCCCTCCTGCCCCTAATGGTAGCCACTGTCTGGATGTTGGCATGTTCCCTTTTCATGCATGTTTTTATAAATGTAAAACTTCCTTGTGTAATCAACAATACATAATTTGTGTTTGTACCATATTCAAATAAAAGGTACCATATTCTACATAATCTTCTAAGACTTGCTTTTTTTCATTCAAAATTATGTTTGAGATTTACCCATAATGTTACATCTAAATGGGGTCATTCCCTCTAATTCCTAACACCTGCATAGATTCCATTAAATGACTGTACCAACTTTCCCATTCCCCTACTAATGGTCATGTACGTTGTTTCCAACTTTCTCCTTTTACAAACTATGCTGAAGTTACCATCCTTGAATATCTCTGTGCCTCTCTTCTCACACATGTAAGTTTCCCTTGGGTATATGCCAAAAAATGGACTCGCTGCATCCACAAGTAGGTCCATCTCTAACTGAATTAAATCTCGCCAAATTGCTCTTCATCTTTCTCTCCTCCAGCAATGCAGAAGTAGTCTATTTCTCACAGCCTTGTCGGCACTTAGTGTTAGCTGGTTTTTAGATTTTCGAGGGGTATAACACTGTGTTTTACATTGTTTTAACTTGCATTGTCTTGCTTACTTGTGAGGCTGAGTATCTTTTCATGTGTCTATTAACTCTTTGGGATTTCTCACCTTTGAATTGCCTATTAGTTCACTGTCTTTCTCTTGGGTTGTCTCTTTCTTATCCATTTATCTGGAATGATTGGTGTTATATTCTGGATACTAGCTGTTGGTTTTATGTTACAAATATCTTCTCCCATTTTGATTGGTCATTTTATCATGTTTCAGAGATGTGAATCCTAACCTAACAGTACTAGAGGGAAGATGTGGCCGAATGTATTTACATTGCATTTCTTTTAAATTTATATTTTAAGGTTAATGCTTTATTCTTTAGCAGAGAGGTTCTAGCATAAATCAGGAGACTACTTTGGGATCTGGTTACACTCTCCAGCATGGATACACTCTAAGGCTGGAATAAGCCCACAGCCAGGCCTCTAGAGCCCAGCCAGACCCTCTACTACCCAGCCTGAAGTCTCAGCCCAGACATTGTTTGAGAAATCTCACCAGTATCCAAGGATACCCTTGTGCTGAGACCAGGGTGTCCAGCTGCACCCATTACAGCTCAGAGTCCCATTACTTATCCAGTAGCAAGCAGCAGACCATACCAAAAAGCAGTACCCTGAGGGGAGCTCTGCCCATCTTGCCTCCCACTCATTCCCAAGGGAATCTCAAGGAGGCTGCAGTTACCACAATACATCCCCAATTAATTCACCTGGTGACATTCAGTCTCTCAAAGGCAGAGCAGAGAGGATCAGAGCACCTACAGTTTGGACTCCTTGAATCTTGTCATTATTTCTGTGACCATATAAGAACCTGACATAACAGGCTTTACTATCTCTCCCCTTTTTACTGATAAAGAAAACGGCATTCAAGAGGTTAGGAAACCTATCCAAGGTCGCTCTGCTAGTAAATAATTGAATTTTAAGTGTTACAGACACTAAACCCCAACTTCTTCACATGTTACCACACTACCCACTGAGGATGAAGCAAGGAAGGAAAGTGTTTCCTTCTGAATGTCAAGGAGGAAAGAAGCATAAAGTGATAGGAATTTTGAGGGAAAATGACTGGTTCATCTTATAGTTTTTGAGCCCCAAAGTAAAGAACATTGCCAATAGGCTGATAATCATTTAGAACATTTGGGAAGTTGGAAAGAGTCTTTCACAGGGCTATCAATAGGGAGGATGAGGATGCTATAGATGAGATTTCTTTTTCAAGCACTAATAATAATAATAATAACAATTATTATTATTATTATTTCTCTCTTCCTTTTAGATTGAGCTTCTTATGGTGGTGTTTATGTCTGTCCTTTGTCCTTTGTGGAAAAAAAAGGACTTTGTAATATATCTAAGTCCTGTGACCAAAAGTAACCTCACAGGGTGATCTGATCATAAATTCCTAACTGGGCAGGTCATGGTGGATCATCATGCCCCAGGCCTATAACTTCTTTAGTAAAAGGTTTATCTTTGCCTTAAGCAAGCCCTGTCCATTGTTCTTGTGCATCTAGGTTATCACATGTTTGAAATGCTGGGGTAATCTTCTGTTTCAGACCCATTGGAAATATAACCACTCACAAAGAAGGTCTTAATCTTGTTAACTATCCAGTAATCCAATCTTGAGTTGGATGAGTTCTTCAAAAATTTTGGATATCAACCCTTTATTGGATATATCATTGGCAAATATCTTCTCCTATCCAGTAGGTTGTCTTTCATTTTGTTGGTTTCCTTTGCAGTGTGAAAACTTTTTAGTTTGATGTAGTCCCATTTGTTTATTTTTTCTTTTGTTTCCCTTGCCCAAGAAGATATATCAGAAAAAAAATATTGCTAAGAGCAATGTCAGAGACTTTATGGACTATGTTTTCTTCCAGGAGTTTTATGGTTTCAAGTCTTATATTTAAGTCTTTAATCCATTTTAAGTTTATTCTGGTATATGGTATAAGAAGGTGGCCTAGTTTCTTTTTTTTTTTTTGCATGATCTGTCCAGTTTTCCCAACACTATTTATTGAATAGATTGTCTTTATTCCATTGTCTATTCTTGTTTCCTCTGTCATAAATTAATTTACCATATAAGTGTGGGTTTATTTCTGGGCTTTCTATTCTGTTCTATTAATCTATGTGTCTGCTTTTATGCCAGTACCATGCTGTTTTGATTACTATAGCCTTGTAGTACAGCTTGGTTATCAGGTAGCACGATGCCTCCAACTTTGTTCTTTCTCAAGATTGCTGTGATATTCAGAATCTTTTGTGGTTCCATATAAATTTTAGGATTATTTGTTCTAGTTCTATGAAAAACATCATTGGTATTTTGATAGGGATTGCACTGAATCTATATATTACTTTGGGTAGTATGGACATTTTAATGAGGTTAATTCTTCCTATCTATGAGCAAGTTATATGCTTCCATTTACTTGTATCTTCTTCAATTTCTTTCTTCAGTGTCTTATAGTTTTCCAAGTACAGAACTTTTACTTCCTTGCTTAAATTTATTACTGAGTATTTTATTTTATTTTTTGATGCTATTGTAAATGGGATTGTTTTCTTAATTTGTCTTTCTGACAGTTCGTTATCGGTCTATCAAAATGCAACCAATTTCTGAATATTAATTTTGTATCCTGCTATTTTACTGAATTCACTTATCAGTTTAATAGTTTTTTTTGGCAGAATATTTAGGGTTCTTTATATATAGTATCAAATAATGACAGTTTTACTTTTTTTCTTCCCAATCTGAATGTCTTTTTTTTCTTTTTCTTATCTGATTGTTGTGGCTAGGACTTCGATACTATGTTGAATAAAAGTGGTGAAAGTGGACATCCTTGTCTTGTTTTTAATCTTAAGGAAAACACTTTTAGCATTTCACTGTTGAGTATGATGTTAGCTGTGGGTGGGTTTGGACTTTCTTGCCAATATCATCCTTCTAACGTTTTCTGTTCCTTCCCTTTCTTCCTTCCTTTATTAATCTTTAGAGTCTAGCATTGTGTTTTGCACATAGTAGGCTCCCAGAAAAAAATTCAAGTTAAAAATTTAAGTTAAGAGATGAAGTGGTATACTGGATCACTTTTAGTGTCCACTATAAGATTAGTTTTGGGACATTGTCCCCTGCTGTAATTAGGACATATTTATATATTTGAGAGCTTTTAAGCACATTATCTACTTTGGACCCAAAGAAGTAAAAGAGGGGGTTCCTTACCCCTTGCTCTTGGATCTCTCATACTGTGCCTATGAGGTTGGGTGCAGACTGAGCTAGGAGCTCAGTGAGCTGATTGCCAGAGTGAGGCATAGTGGCTAATTGGAAACCAGCTTCCAGAATAAGAGAGATACCTTCCCTAGGTTATCAGAGGTGCCATCCTTAACTTCTGCATCAAGCGTATGAGCTAAGGTATTATACTACGTAGCTAATGGACTGGCTTAAGCAGTGTAATGGCCCCAACCCTAAGAGAAGAGCACTCTAGCAATGAGATGTGAGATGAGCTAGGAAAACTGTGCTTACAAAAGCAAGACAATAAAGCAACAGAGAGGGTATAGTGTTCCAATATTCATCCTACTTATCTTCTATATCCAGAAATATCTGGAAACTGGCCTATGTAAAAGAAAGGAGTTCTTGACCTGGCAATAAGACAATGATAGCTTTAAGTCCTTCATTTTTGTTCCTGAACATATTTGATCGGGACGCTGTGTAGGCAGGAGTCTTTTCACTCCACTGTGCTTTACTTTTATCACCTTTAAATCAGATAATTTTTAAAAATATTTTCCAAAGTTCTTTATATGCACTTCATGCATGCACCTGTGGGTATACAGGGAAAGTGCAGCGATTTTCACTGACCGAAGAAAGAAAAATCTCAAAGAGCCCTGTGAACTTGCCCCAGGAATCACTGCCCTCCAAGCCTTTATTCTCACTGCAGAAGCCCTTCCTTTGTGGTTGTAAAACGCACTGTACAGTGTCTCAACAATAAGAACATATTGCACTGTTTTATAACTATTTAATTGCTTCCTCTACTTGGACTGTAGCTCCCACCAAGGGCACAGACTTGTGGCCCTAGCACTTGGCATAGGGCCCTCAATGAGACTACAAGTTAAATCAAATATAAGATCGGAAATGAGGAAACAGAACACTAGCCTCCATGATACATTTAGCTGGAGGCCAGGGCTCTTCCTTCTGGTTTTGCACAACAGAAAATACATTTCCAAACATCAGTTTCTACCAAAATCCAGACAAAGAATCCAAGCTCAAAGCTATTTACTCTGTAGCTCTATGCCAACTGTTGTAGCAGAATCCATACTCTGATATTGAGAACTCAGTAACAATGCATAAAACATCATTACCCTTTTCGTGAGCAGGTGAGGCAATTCCTCTTCAGCAACACACTCTTCTGGAATCTTTAGTATGACCAAGAATGTTTTATTTGATGATAACTCAAGTATTTCATTTTCATCTTCATCGACAGAAGGTACTAAAGAGAGTAGAGGGTGAAAATGAAAGAAAAAGTAAATACATCCATAAAATAATAAACTTATTTATTTATTGGCTGTTACACTTAAAAAAGAAAAAGAAAAGAAAAGAAAAAACAATGAGCACTTATCAAGGATAAAGCCTGGAAAGAGTAAGCAAGTATGAGCAGAAATGCTTTCCCCTTTCAGTAGATCAAATAAAGACAGGGTCTTGTCACCATCGTGATAAAAATTTTGTTTATTTTATGCCATAAGGGGTCTCAGATTCCATTGAATATAGACTGGAGAAGGGTCAGCAGGA